CATCATCTATAAGCTGGATGAATACAACAGCCACAATGTCACTGCTTTCTTGACCTGGTGAGAGCTACCACCTTAGGAGAACACGGGGGGCCTAAAGGGTTGCCCTAAGGGTCCAAGAGGCAGACTGATGTCATAGCTGAATGATGACCAAAGCTGAAAGATGGTCATTCATCTTACCATTGGGTACTGGATCCCTGTATTTATTTCTTCTCCAATTCACTAGATCAACATTTCTTGGTCACTTCAGCACAGACACAAGATGGTACTGGGGATGGACACAGGTCTTATCAGGAAACAAGACAGAGAGAGCAGAGTTGTCCCAGATGGGAAGAGGGTCACTGAATCAAGTCTGGAATCCCACCTAAGACGTTCTCAAGGGCTTCCAGGGAAGTAGTCTGTGGATCAGGTCTTTAGGAACCAACCTGTGTCAGAAGGAGGCCTGGGACCATCGTGGAAGGGCTGGTGGACTGAGTCAGAGGTATCCACATCTTCGAGAAACAGCAAGCCATCGCATGGCTGCCCTGCGCAGGAGCTGATGATCGGCCTGGAGGGGGACAGTGGCCACAGTGGCAGGGGCCTCAGGTACTGGTGAGGAGCAGATCTGGCTGCAGCAGGGAGAGGATTGATGGTGTGCAGTCCAGGAGGCTGATCAGTCATAGGTGGGAGATGACCAGGGCGGGGGCAGATTAGGACCTAGAGAGGAGAGCCAAGGATTTCCCAGCTCCTCTGTATTTCTGGCTCTGGTACTTGGGAATGGGGCTAGAGCATCTGTCATGGAAGCAGCAGAAGGGCAAGTGTGGGGAAATCATCTCTAGGTGCCAGGGGGCCAGATGGGATGGAGGTGGGAGGTCAGGGTTGCCCCAACAGCTGAGAGAGTCTTTGGCATCCAGAAGACTGGATCCTGGGTGGTGATTCCACCAGGAGAGGTTACAATGGGAAGCCACAATATAAGAATAGGGGACAGGGATGCCTGGGTGGCTCAACTGGTTAAGCCTCCTACTCTGGCTCAGGCGTAGGAGTATATTTTGTGAATCTGAGCACCACATCAGGTTCTGTGCTTATAGCTCAGAGCCCGGAGCCTGCTTTGCATTCTTTGTCCCCCTCTCTGTCTGCCATTCCCCTGCTCATTCTATGTCACTCTTTGTCTCTCTTTGTCTCTGTCTCTCTCAAAAATTAACAAACATTTTAAAAATGTAAAAAAATATATACATATACATATATATATATATATATATATATGAGACAAATGCCTCGGGTGAGAGAGGCCATCAAGGGGAAAGAGCCTTGAAGAAGGACAGTAGATGTTAGAGGAAGAGTCTGAGCAGGTCAGGTGTCTCAAGGCAGAGTAGGCAAGAAGAGGCAGGGATGGGCTCAGTGGGTAAGAGCCAGGCCCATCTCAGGGGTGAGGTGCGGGCATCCTGCTTGGCAAGGTGGGCTGTCATCCTCTTCCCCACCCATCTCTTGCTTCCACAGGAACCAGCGCTGTAACCACTGGTTTGGAACTCTCATCCCAAATTCTCAGCCAGGCCAATTCAAACTAGTCAACCTTGAGCGTGAGTCCTGAGTGGAGTACGTCTCTGGGGGCATAGACCTCTCTGCCTTTCCACACAGACGTCAAACTGTGGAGGCTGGGGGGGTGGGGGGGAAGCAATATCTCCCTCTGCCCAGCCAGGGCGGGCTGATCCCTCACCATCCACCATGGAGGTTACCCTTAAAAACAGGACTACACTGCATGAGTGGTGGCCACAGACTACAACCAGTTTACCAAGCTGTTCAAGAAATATCACAACAACCAGGTGTACTTCAACATCAGCCTCTATGGTGAGTCTTGCCTTCTCTGGGACCCGGCTCTTGGCCATGCTGGGGAAGAAGAGGCCCATCGCACCCAGCCCTCACGGTCCCCTTGACTCCAAGCCCCGGGAGGCTAAAGGGAGGTCTTTCCACCAAACATCTCATGAGGAAGGGGGTCTGAGGCCTCATTTATACATTCAACAATAATTATGGAGCCTTTGTCAGACATTCAGCAGCCATTTTGGTCACAAGGAGGACCAAGGGGCTGACTCCGGAGCTGAAAGAAAACTTCACCAGATTCGCAAAATCCTTGGCCTCACTGCCAACCACATCATCGTCTTACTTATCCCCATCGGTAATCACCAGCTGGGGAGAGGAGAAGGGCACATGGGGACTGCCCAGGACTGATGTTGCCTCACCAGGGAAGCCAGGAGAGGGGGGATGCAGGTCCTCGCTGCAGTGACTGGAGCCCCAGGAGCCTCTTCATGTTCAGAAAGATCCTGCCACATCCAGCGTTCTGGGCCCCAAGAGTCCCTCCCTCACAAGAGCTTGGGCCTGCCCACATGAGATTTGCACACCTTGGGCTACAGTTTCTCAGTCTCCCTACCTGGCCACCTGCCATCCACCCGGGCCTGTTTGTCTGGACCACCTCCCCCTTTGCCCTTGGGTTGGCTAACCACTGAGCCACCAAGCAGAAGTGTGGCTGGGCCTCACCTGCCTCCTTTGGAGAATGGGTATCACCCATTGCATCAACCATGAGATCATTACCTGAGCCGAAGTCGGACGCTTAACCAATTGAGCCACCCAGGCGCCCCTATACCAGTATACTTTTTTTTTTTTAATATTTTATTTATTTATTTCTAGGAGAGAGAGAGAGAGACAGTGTGAGCAGGGGAGGGTCAGAGAGAGAGAGGGAGATACAGACTCTGAAACAGGCTCCAGGCTCTGAGCTGGCAGTCAGCACAGAGCCCGACGCGGGGCTCGAACCCACGAACCGCGAGATCATGACCTAAGCGAAAGTCGGATGCTCAACCGACTAAGTCACCCAGGAGCCCCTATACCAGTATACTTTTAAAAATCCATTCATTGCAACTTTGATTATCCTAATCACACACAAAATTCATTTCCAATGATTTCCCTTCATGAACTTTCTATAACTTTCCTTGGCATTCAACTTTTCTCCTAAGCCATTTTTCTCCTAACCATTCTCATTTAGGACAAAACTACTTTCTTTTATATGCAACAAAAGATATATTTCCATTCCTTTTCTCTTTTTTACACATTCTTACTCTTTTACATATAGAGTTGCTTTCCTTATTTCCATCAGTCTTACTCGTATTTAGCAGAATTTTGACTCTGAGAAACCTTAGTCTCAGCTGAAACAAAGTAGTAACCATTTTTTAAAAAATGTTTTATTTATTTTTGAGAGAGAGATAGAGAGACAGAATGTGAGCAGGGAGGGTCAGAGAGAGAGAGGGAGACACAGATTCTGAAGCAGGCTCCAGGCTCTGAGCTGTCAGCACAGAGCTCAACGCGGGGCTCGAACTCACGAACTGTGAGATCATGGCCTGAGCTGAAGTCGGACACTCAAACGACTGAGCCACCGAGGTGCCCCAGGTAGTAGCCATTTGTAAACTGTTATACCAGAATTCCTTAGGTGGCAAATTCAGGAATCAATTAAGCACAACGCATGTCTTCCTTTTCAAAAAAATATTTTTAATGTTTATTTATTTGTGTGTGTGTGTGTGTGTGTGTGAGAGAGAGAGAGAGAGAGAGAGAGAGAGAGAGAAAGAGATTGAGAGAGAATCCAAAGTAGACTCCAGGCTCTGAGCTGAGGTCTGGGTCCATCCTACCAATGGGCCTGGATGAGAGGAGGGACTAACTCAAGATGAGAATAATGGAGCTTTGGAATGGTGGGTGTCCAAAGCTCACAGACAAAAATGAATATTCGAGACACCTTTGGTGCACAAATGGTGATTTTGTTGAGGCATAGAGACCAGACTTTTGGGCAGAAAGAATTGCACTGGGGTTGTGAAGAGTGACTTGCTATATACTTTGGGGTTGGGAGAGATGAAGTTAAGAGGAAGTTTCTAAAGGGATTTTCATATGCTCAGAGAGACTCAGATATTACTGGAGGGATGGCTGTTGTCAAGCTAAGGTTGTTCTGTCCTCTGGCATAGCATTAATATTATGACAGTAGGCAATTCCTGGAGAAATGTGATACTCTATACTTGCCTCAAGTATGTGTCAATGGGCTACAGGTCAAATGAAATTTCATGCCTCTTCCTTCTTGCCTTTCTTCCCTATTATGGGGTGTTGGTGACAATAGGGCTCCAGGAAACTGAGTATAGGTTTCTGGAAATTTGGCTATTGATAAGATTCCTTTTTTCTCCTAATTTACTAGGACATAAGTAAACTGATGGGAACTCACGTCATGCAGGACTGTGATCTCTGTCAGTTAACCATTTGTTTTCTTTCCTTTCCTTTGTTCTTGGGCAGCCAGGAGTGCCTGAAATGTGGCACAGATCCTACATGAGGGGAGGGGCAAGCTAGCATGTGCTTTGCCCTCAGCTTGCCTTATGCCCCTTCATCAGGAACACTCCCAGTTTACCTCTGGGGGTGGGGAAGAGAAACGGTGTCTCACCCAGTGCCAGGGCCTGGTTGGGTACCTGTGAGGGCCAGTATCTAGGCTCCCAGAGCAGCACAGGGTCACCTGTCCTTCCCTGACAGGAACGTCCTCTTTTCAGCTGCCCTCCTTTCCCTGTCCCTTTGGGGGAACCAAAAAGCAGCATGGGCTTTGTTGATGCAAGACATTCTCTGATTTCATCAGGTGCAAGAAGGCGGCCCCACCACACTTACCCTACCCTGTACTTGGACCCCAGCTGAGAGGCTCCTGGAGGTCAGAGAGGACAATGGTCCAGATCTGAGACGTCTGTCCTCTCACAGTGCTAACCAGGGGAATACAGTGTGGAGGGAGTCACTGTCCCTGCCAGAGATATGGAGATATGGGGAATGTATCCTCCAAACACCTGGACCTTCCTCCCCCTCATCTTGCATAATCTTGACCAGGGGAAAGGGCAGAAAGCTTGCCATGATCTTCAGCACGAGTTGCTGGCAGTTGCCCCACCCTTCCAGAATTTATCAAAGGATAAGTCGCTCCACCCTGGGGTGAGCCATTGGCTACAGAAACCATAAATAGCATCCCCCCAGAAGCCTCCTCACTCATATCCTCTTTCAGGAAATATCTGGAACGGTGCCTGCTTCTTCGGCCCTGAAGTCATGGCCCAGTGTCTTCTGTGGCTGGGCCTTGCCCTGCTGGGGGCGCTGCACACCCAGGCCCAGGACTCCACCTCAACCCTCGTCCCAGCCCCACCTCTGCGCAATGTCCCTAGGCAGCCTCACTTTCAGGATGACCAGGTAAGGGGCCGGGAGGGGCATCTGCAGGGAGGCTCCGGGATGAGTGTGAACAGAGGGGAGGAGAGGCAGGATGGGCTCAGGCTTTAGCTCAGTCTGCCCTCGGGTCCCCTGATGGAAGGGACACCCCAAGCCCCCATCCACACCCAACCTTGCTGACAAGAGGGTCAACTGAGCAGAAATCTCCTGGTCCACACTCTCTTCCAAAGTTCCCGCAGTCCTTGCAATGTGGGAACATTTTCAGGCCCTCTACATGGTGAGGAAATTGAGGCTTAGGGACAGCAGCTGGCCACTTGCCAAGGGTCACTCTGTCCCTGACACACTCAGGGCTCCCCAGCTCCTGCTGGTTTCATCAGCGCAGGCTGTGTGACCAGTATGGGTCTCTGTGGTCAGGGGACTGATTCAGGGCCAAGCTGCCTAGAGATGACTGTGGGATGAAGCATGAGGGCCCCTTGGGCAGGCTCTGCCTATTATCAGCCTCCTCTGTAGTTCCAGGGGAAGTGGTACGTCTTGGGATTGGCAGGGAATGAAATTAATAAAGAAAAACACAGACAGTTTAAGGTTTACACCACCACCTACAAGCTGAACGAAGACTACACCTACAGCTACAATGTCACCTCCACCCTGGCCTGGTGAGTGCTACCACCTTCTAGGGCAGCAAGGTGGGTCAAGAGGGTTGCCTGGGGGTCCAGAGGCAGACTGATGTCATAGCTGAGGGATCACCAAAGCTGAAAGACGATCATTCTTCCTACAACTGGGTACTGGATCCCTTTATTTATTCTTTCTACCATTCACTAGATCAGCGTTTCTTGATCACTTCAGCACAGACTCAAGACAGTACAGGGGATGGGGCACCTGGGTGGCTTAGTCGGTTAAGCATCCGACTTTCGCTTAGGTCATGATCTCGCAGTTAGTGGGTTCGAGCCCCGCGTCGGGCTCTGTGCTGACTGCCAGCTCAGAACCTGGAGCCTGTTTCAGAGTCTGTGACTCCCTCTCTCTCTGGCCCTCCCCTGCTCACGCTGTCTCTCTCTCTCCCTCTCTCTCTCTCTCTCTCAGAAATAAATAAAACATTAAAAAAAATTAAAAAAAAAAAGACAGTACAGGGGATGGACGTAGACTGTCAGCAGGGAACAAGTCAAAGAGACCATGGTGTCCTAGAATGGGATGGGGGTCACTGGACCCAGCCTGGGATCCCACCTAGGGCTTTGTCAAGAGCTTCCAGGGTGGTGGTCTGCGGGTTGGGTCTTGAGGAACCAACCTGTGTCAGAAGGTCTGGGACTTTCATGGCAGGGCTGGTGGACTGAATCAGAAATATCCACATCTTCAAGAAACAGCAAGCCATCACATGGGTGCCCTGATCAGGAGCTGATTAGCAGTCTGGAGGTGGGGGTGGCCACAGTAGCAGGGCCTCAGGTACTGGTAAGGAACAGCTCTAGCTACAGCAGGGAGAGAAATGATGGTGTGCAGCCCAGGAGGCTGTTCAGTCATAGGTGGGAGATGCCCAGAGCTGGGGCAGATTAGGACCTAGAGAGAGGAGCTAAGGATGACTCAGCTCTTCTGGGTTTCTGACTCTGGCACTCAGGGATGGGGCTAGAGCAGAATGGCAGGTGGGGAGATCAGCTCTGAGGTGCCAGGGACCAGTATGGGATGCACATGAGAGGTCAGAGTGGCCCAACAATTAAGGGAGTCTTTTCCATCCAACAGACTGGAGTCTTGGTGGTGATTCCCCCAGGAGAGGTTACAGCAGGAGCCCACCAGATAATAATAGGGGACAGGGGAACCTGGGTGGCTCAGTTGTTTAAGCGTACAACTCTGTCTCAGACATGATCTCATGGTTTGTGGGTTTGAACCTCGTGTCGGGCTCTGTGCTGACAGCTCAGAGCCTGGAGACTGCTTTGGAATCTGTGTCTCCCTCTCTCTCTGGCCCTCCCTGCTTGTGCTCGCTCTCTCTCTCTCTCTCTCTCCCTGTCTTCTCTCTCAAATTAATGATCACCAAAAAAATTTTTCAAAAAGGGAAAAGAAAGGAATAGGGGACAAATGCCTTGATGGGTGGGGGGAAGTATGGAGGGAATGCTACCAAAGGGAAACATTCCGGAAGAAGGAAGAACAGTAGGTGCAGAGGGAGAGTCTGAGCAGGTCAGGTGGTTCAGGGCAGAGTAGGCAGGGACAGGCAGGGATGTATCAGCGGGGAACAGCTGGCCCATCTGAGGGGTCCAGGGGACCTCCTGCTGTGGCATGGTGGGCTGTCACCCTCTTACTCACCCATCTCTTGCTTCCACAGGAACCTGAACTGTAGCCATTGGTTCAGAACTTTCGACCGAACTTCATTCCCAGGCCTATACACCCTGGGCAACATTGAGTGTGAGTCCTGAGTGGGGTGGGTCCTCAGCAGCATGGACCTCCTTGCTGCACCACACAGAAACAATCTTATGGAGGCAGAGGAAGAAACAATAGCTCCCTCAGCCCAGCCAGGGAGGGCTGAGATCTCACCGTCCACCACACAGGGTACACTGGAATCCAGAGGTACGTGTTACGAGTGGCGTCCACAGACTACAAAAAGTTTGCCATGGTGTTCTTCAAGAAAATTGTCAAACAGCAGGCTTACTTCACAGTCGCCCTCTACGGTGGGTCTTACCCCTACTGGGACCCAGATCGTGGTCATGCTGGCGGAGAAGAGGCCCATGACACCCAGTCCCCAATGTGCCCTTCACCCCAAGCTTCGGGAGGCAGGAGAGGGGTCTTTCCACAGAACACCTCATGAGGAAAGGATCTGAGGTGTCATTCACACATTCAACAATATACATGGAGCTTTTGCCAGCCACTCACCAGCCATCTTGGCCACAGGGAGGACCATAGAGCTGACTCCTGAGCTGAAGGAGAACTTCACCAGCTTCGTCAAATCCATGGGCCTCAGAGATGAACACATCATCTTCTCTATTCCCATCGGTAACCACCAGCTGGGGAGAGGAGAAGGCCGATGGAACTGTCCAGGCCTGATGTTGCCTCACTAGGGAAGGGGGGAGAGGAGAGACACTGACCCCGGCTGGGGTCACTGGAGCCCCAGGAGCCACTTTGGGTTCAGGAAGACCCTGCCACAACCAGGGCTCTGGGCCCCAAGTGTTCCTCTTTCACGATAGCTCAGGCCTGCCCACGTGAGCACTGCACACCTGGGGCCACGTTTCCTCAGTCTCCTTGCCTGGCCACCTCCCCCTCCATCCAGGCCTGTTTCTCCTGGGCCCCCTCCCCTTTTGTCCTGGGCCTGGCTCACCACTGACTTGGGAGGCACCCTTGTCCTCAGGCAGCCTGGCCTGGGCAGGTGCCTCCCCAAGGCTGAGGGGCTGTCAGGGCTCAGCAGGTAAACAGGAAGGAGGCTTGGTGCCCAAAATGGAGCATGGCTGGGCCTCACCTGCCTCCTTTGGAGAATGGGTTTCACCCAGGTCTGCTTGTCCTCTGGCCTGTCCCCCAGTCCCCTGCCCCATCATGCAGCCCTCTGCTGCACCATACCTGAAGGAAACCCCCCAGAGCTTCAATGAATGGGCCAGCCTGGGGTCCAGGGCAGCCTAAGGGCAGTGCAGGGCCCCTGAAAGTCAGGGATCCCTCACACACAGCCTTGCCCATACTGACCACTCTGTCCCCTGCAGATGAGTGCATGGATAAGTGAATAAGCATCAGGTAAGTATGGCTGGCGAGGGAGCTGATGGGAGTCCGGGTGTAGCTGGGAGGGGGTCCCAGGTCTGCCTTTGTCCCATCTACCCAGCACTGCTGCCCCCTTTATTCCTGACTCCTTCTCTGGTGCCCTCTGACTCTCTCCACTCCACCCTCCTCACACCAATTTCAGCTCAGGGCACCTGCCCAGCTTTCCCCTCCAGCCTGGACACCACTGAGAGAGCCAAGAGACCCTTGTCACTGCACAGGCCACCAGCTGCTCCCCAGGCTGCTCTGCTCACGGAATTCTTGTTTGTTGCTAAATAAACACATATCCCCTGGTCTCCAGTCTGTAGTCTTTGAGCTCTGGGCCCTCGGAGAGGGAAAAGAACAAAAGCAGGCTTCTAGTAGAATCACTCGCAGGAAATGAGGTTCCCAGGAAGGGATGGGGGCCACAGAAGCAGAGTCCAGCTCCCACTGAACACTTCTAGCTCACAACTCCAGGCCCGGCCCCAGACCAGCAGCCGCCCTCACTCGCCCCTGCCCCCAAGCACACTGAGGGGGCACATCTCACACCCATGTTCAGCCATCTGCAGCAGGTCCAGTGACAGAGGCCCATCCAGGGCCAGGTAGTTGGAGAGGGTTGGGGGACTGTGGTCCTGTGACCCCCACTTAACCAGTGATGAAGTTTGGCAGTTATGTGCGGGGTTGGGAGCCAAGGGCCAAGAAAGAATTTGAAGATGCCTTTGGTTCAAAAATGTTATTTTACTGATGTACAGAGATAGGACCCATGGACAGAAAGAGCTGCACTTGGGTTGTGAAGGGTGACTGGTTATATACACTGGTCTAGCTACTGTCAGGCTAAGGTATTTTTCCCTCCAGCAAAGCATTGACATTAAAACAGTAGGGAGCCCCTAAAGAAATGTTCTTCTCTACCAGCCTCAAGTATTTGTCAGTGGACTGCAGGGTATCAGGAAATTTAATGTTACCAGCCATTTCCTTCTTGCCTTTGTTCCCCATATTATTATGGAGGGATGATGTGGGGCTCCATGAAACTGAGTCTATTGGTTTCTGGCTATTGATAAGATTGCCTTTTTCTTCTACTTTACTAAGATATTTGTAAACTGATGGAGACTCATGTCCTGCATGACTGTGATCTCTATCAGTTAACCATTTGTTGTCTTTCCTTTCCTTTGTCCTTAGGCAGCCAGGAGTGCCTGAAGAGTGTCACACACGTCCCACCTGGGATGGGGGAGGGGTAATGCGAGCTTGTTCTTGGCCCTCAGCTTGCCTTGTACTCTCTTATCATATCCCCCATAAACAATTTTGACCCTTACAACTTTAATATTGTTGAAGGTGGAAGGTCTTATCTTCTGTAGCGTCTTCTTGCTCAGTAGGGGTATAGAGATGTCCCTACCTATGAGTCAATACTGATCATTTGGGGAACATAGAGAAGAGTTACAGAAGGCAGAGGCAGCTGAATTCCAGGTGGACAATGAGTATGAACCTCCTTGAGTAGAAAGGATCAACTGTTGGCTTGAGGTTATTGTAGTGATAGAATCTTGTGACCAGGCAGAGAGACATGGGAGAAAAAAGCAAAATGTTATTAGAATAACAAGAAAGAATGGCCCAAATAAACATCCTTTGGTAATTGATGAAAATTCTCAAGTCCAGGAGTTTAACCAATCATGACAGGAAAGAGAGGGGTTGTTTAAATCACCAGTTTGAGTATTCAGGTCAGTTACAAATCCACAAATATTTATGCGATAATCTAGAATGTATACTGATGAAGTTTTGGGGGGTTTGGTGGGAGTGGTCCAGAGCCGATGGCCAAGAAAGATTTCTGGAAGATGTTTTTGGTGGAAAAAAGGTGATTTTTATTAAAGTACAGGGACAGGACTTATGAGCAGGTAGAGTTGCACTGATGTTGTGATGCGTAAATGACTATATACCCTCAGGTTGGGAGGGGGTCGGGGATAGAGTAAGTTCTAAGGTATTTTGGAACCAAGGTCTCCAGGACCTTGAGGGGCTAGCTGTCGCTAGGGAAATGCCACTTATTACAGTTGAATAAAATATCAGTCATGCATATTAGGGGGATGTAAGCTTGGATCAAGCATATACCTTGGGGCAGTTGAGAGAAAGGAAGTAGACTTACAGGATCCTCTAGGTTAGGATCATGTTGAGCGAAGGGTCTCTTTGCCCTTAGCAAAGTGTCATCATCGAAGCAGCTGAGATTGTAGAGAGAGGTCATTCCGCTGGTTTCAAGGATTTGTCAGTGAGGTGTAGGCAGTAAGAGTATTTAATTTTTCATTTGCCTTACTTTCCCACATCACCATGGCAAGCCCTTAAACACTTTTTGTTTGTTCTTGAGCAGCCAGGAGGATTTGAATATCACACATATTCCACATGGGGTGGGAAGGGGGAGGATGTGTCAGCCTCTTTTGCCCTCAGCTTATCCCATGATCCCTCATCATATCCCCCCTGAACAATTTTGGCCCTTAAATCTTTAAGGTTGTTGGAGGAAGAAGGTCTCATTTTTTGTAGCTTCTTCCTGCTGAGTAGGGGCAAAGTGTTGTTCCTACCTATGGGTCAATATTGGCCTGTCAAGGAACAAAAAGGGAAATTAAGGTGAGACACTGAATCCAAGATGGATAACATGTAGGAACCTCCTTGAGTAGAATGGATCATCTGTTGAAGTCTATTGTAGTGATGGAGTCTTGGCATCAGGCAGAGAGACATGGGAGAAAACAGCAAAACGTAAATAGAATAACTCGAAATATTAGCTCGAATGAAAAGTCCTTGGTAACTAACAAAAATCTTCCAGTTCAAGAGTTTAACCAATTATTAAAGGAAAGAGAGGGTTTATTTAATGCACCAATTTGAGGATTCATGTCAGTTAGAAATCCAGAAATATGTTTGAGGTATTCTGGAATATACACACACCATTTTGTTCTTAAGAAAGTTCATGTTCCACCTTGTGCAGCACTTAAAACATCTAATGCCATTCTGTTTTTTAGAAATGTTTTATGCATTTGAGTTATTTTAGTATTTAGTAATATAATGGTATTCTGAGAGTCATTTAAGGCCTCAACTGTGTAACAGGTGGTATATAGCCATCATATTGACTCTGTTTTGTTTAGTAAGCAAGCAGGTAATTAATAAGAGGTACTTTTATAGAACAAGACAAATTCAGGTTAATGGTTAGAGCAGATTACAAACCCAGTGTCTCCCAGTGCTGCCATGAGAGTTTTTAGACGTTAGGCTTGAAGCATCCTCGGATGCTTGTGGGAACAGGCAGGAGGAATCAGATTGATCTTTCTGATTTGTAACTCAAATGCCTGTAGTGATCCTTTTGAATGGTCCATTGTAAGAAGGAATTGTTAGTAGAAATTGAGAAAGGAGGATGAAAACGAAAGGTCCAACCATCCTAAGAGAAGTTTGAGGTCTTGCACAGGTTCACAGGAATAAAAAGGCACATTAGTTTGCTCATTGATTTACCTTGTAGGGGTCCAGGTTTTATTTTAGATATAGGAGCCCGTGAAGTGTGCCCCTCTAACTTTACTGCAGTGGGAATACATAATATGACCCAGTAGGGGCCCTTCCATTTTGGAGTTAAATCCCCTGCTGTATTAGACTTTCAATCCTTTATTTTTTTTTTAATATTTTTTATTTATTTCTAGGAGAGAGAGAGAGACAGCGTGAGCAGGGGAGGGTCAGAGAGAGAGGGAGTCACAGACTGAAACAGGCTCCAGGCTCTGAGCCGGCAGTCAGCACAGAGCCCGACGCGGGGTCCGAACCCACGAACCGCGAGATCATGACCTAAGCGAAAGTCGGACGCTTAACTGACTAAGCCACCCAGGCGCCCCAGACTTTCAATCCTTTAAATAAACCAGGTGTTTCGGGTTTATATAGAGTGGGTTTCTAGTAACTCACAGATCAGGTTTAAGAGAGATATGTTTTACATATTCATATAGAGATTTAGGAATTGCATATACATTTGAACATTTCTAGCTTTACCCAAACAATATAAACTAAGGTTTATGATTATATAATAGGATTTTCACTTAATATACCAAATAAAAAGCCTTCCTAGGTCAAAAAGACGTTCTTTACAATTTAAATTCTGGGAAGCTTGTTAAACCTTAGAAAGTTTAGAGCACATCTGAAACGGGATTTAGATCATTACAAATCTTAACGCTTTAAATTACTTATTTAACCAAGATGACAATAAGAGATTCCAAAGGCAAATATGTAGGGTTATATAGTTATTAGCAAAACTTAGCTCCTTTAACAGTGAGAAGTTTTAACTAAGATCAGTAACCTGGTAAAGATGAAAGCTAACCCTGTGGTTTTCCTAGCAGAAAAAAAGAGAAAACAATCCTTTGTATATTATTATTATTTTCTTATCTAAAGCCAAAAAATCCAAAAAAAGCTTTGAGCTTTTTTTAAAAGCTCAGTGTACTTTTAAAAATCCATTCAATGCAACTTAGTCTATCTAACCACACGTAAAATTCCTTTCCAAAGATGTCCCTTCACAAAACTTCTACAATTTTCCTTTGCATTCAGACTTTTTCCCAAGCCATTTATCTCCAAGCCAGTCTCACTTGGGACAAAATTACTTTCTTTTACCTGCAATAAAAATATATTTCCATTCCTTCTCTCTTTTTTACACATTCCGACTTTTTTTACATATAGACTTGCTATCCGTACTTCCTTCAGTCTTAATTATGTTTAGCAGAATTTTGACTCCTAGAATTGACTAAGCAGAATTTGACTCTTAGTACCCTATTGTAAACTGTTACACCAGAATTCTTTAGATGGCACATTCATGAGTCAATTAAGTAGAAAGCATGCTTTCTAATAGACCCAAATATTCTTAGTTTCTTTGCAATAAGAAGTCAAAAGGAGAAACCTATGTTCAGTAATCAATGCTTTAACACTCCATTCTATTTGGAAGACACCTAGATATCCAACGAATTCAATCCCATCTATCCAAGTTCAGATCACCAAAGACTTTGAAAGCTATCTTAACAATTATTCATGAAAACTGAGATACACAAACTTAATCATTATTTTAAGTCATCTTTTTGCTAACAAATTGCAAAAGAGACAACATGAGCTTATTTGACCTTGAGGAAACCTTGGTAGAATAAAAACTTTACATTTAATGCCGATGACTCTAAATACTTGTCCAGCTTAGTTAAACCAACAAACTTAAATAAGCTAAACCACCGAATATGTTCCACTGGCATTCACTTAAAGGACAACCAGTTTGTTCCCCATTGTCACATTTTACCTGGGACACGCTTGGGGGAATCTAAAGTGGGTGATCCAAGGGGGTGCTCATTGCTCCTTGACATCAAGGGTGGGAAGATGGTATAGACACCAGATTTTCACCAAAGTGGAAATATGGAGTCTGTGTCAGGCTAGAGAAGACAAGGGATTTCCCCAAAACAAAGGGAGTTTGGCAGCTGCTATTTTCTAAAGTCCACGTCCCGAGGTAGACTAACCACAGTTGGCTCCAATTATAGCCGTTAACTCGGGAAATGAAAGAGGGAGAGGCCCCCACATCTATTAGGAGGAGGAACAGAGAGAGTGAGAAATACAGCATCCCCTGTCAGGGATGGCCAGTGTTTCCTCTAGTAACAGAGTTCCATCAGGAGGAAGCCTCTGAGGACATCCACTATGTCGAGAGGGAGTTTATTAGCCAAACACATTTGGGCAAACACATTCTGCAACAGGCTTTCAGTTCAGGTCCTGACTTAGAGCTGTGAAGGCCTGGAACTGGGGTACTTCCATCCATTGACCCTGTTTTCTGCAGAAGAAATCTAACTGCTAGATCCTACTAAGGCCACACAGTGTTATAGGACATCAGCCCTTTCCTAAATTTTACAATCCAAATTGTTTCCTGTGGGTTGAAAAGACATCTCAAGGGAGAGTTGTTGGGCACTGAGGAGAAGCTCCTGTCCTCTTCCTAGAGAGAGAAAAGGAAAGAATGTCCATTTCTACAAAAATCCCCCTCAGCACCCAGGTGGCTATCCCACACACAGGATATATCAGAAGTTCCTGAGGTGTCAAACTGACCCGAGGAATACCTTGAACAAAATCACTGTGATTATGGACCAGCCCCCAAGGGTCTCTGTAAGTGGGATGCTGGTATCCCTCCACTTTGCATTCTAGGCTACAAATAGGTGCCAGCAGACAGACCTACTTTGCCTCTCTAAAAAGGCCAAAGAAATCACTGTTTTCAACCCTTTGAAAAAATTGGGAAAATTTTACAAGGCAGAATTGCCCAATTTTGTAATTTAAGGAGTAGTTACTAGGGGACATTGACAGAAAACAGTGAAGACAGAAGCCTATCATTATCTAATCTACATGCCAACACATTCAGTCTTTACAGCCAGCTTCCTAGGATATGGTCCCCAGTTGGGTTTCAATTCAGTTACTGGTTTTGCAGGCTTCCAGTGGAGGTCCCACAGCCAAAAGCAGTTAGACCAGATATGTGAATGGGATCACTTTAGATCATTGAGGAGGAAACATCACACAGGAGTCTTAAGATTTGCATCTGTGCTGGTCACTTAGGTGGCTGTCCCAAGCCCAACACAGACACCTATGTATAAGGACAGGAAGAAAGAGAGGGTACAAGTTTCTGGGTCTTTTTACCATTCCAGCCTGGGAATTCACTTCTAGCCAAAAGGTAGGCTTTCTCCTCCCCGTAGAGTAGCCATGGGCTAGAGGATTATGGCCTGAGCAATGGACAGGAAAGTGTTCTAATAAGACCATACTCCTTGAAAAGCCCCTAAAATAAGAATAAAAAAAGAAAAGATAAAGTACTCACCAAGTTTGCACCAAAGTTCATGGTGCAGATGAAAAAGACTCAGACCCCCACATTGGGTGCCGAAATATGAGGAGAGTGGGATGGGTGAAGGGTTCCAGAGCTGATGGCCAAGAAAGAATTCTTGAAAACATCTTTGGTGCAAAAGAAGGTGGTTTTATGAAAGCACAGAGACAGGACCCTTGGGCAGAAAGAGCTGCACTGAGGTTGTGAGGAGTGACTGCTTATATACTATGACGTTGGGGGAAGTAATCTTGAAAGGGAGAGAGACCTCCAGAAGGACTTTGACATGCTAACGAGGACTCCTAAGGTACATGAACCCTTGCTATTGTCAAGCCTAGGTTGTTTTACCTCCAGGAATAAATTAATATTAGGAACGGTAGTGGTTCCTGAGGAAATGTACTCTGTATTTGCATCAAGTACTTGTTACTGGGCTGCATGGTATCAGAAATTTAATTTTACCTACCATTTCCTTCTTGCTTTTCTTCCCTACATCACCATGGAGGAGAGAGTGTTAATATCGGCTCCAGGAAACTGAGACTGTAGGCTTCTGGAGATTAGAGTATGGATAAATTGCCCTTTTCTTCTAATTTATTAAGATATTTGTGAGCTCATGGAGATTCATGTCCTGCATGACTGGGATCTCTATCCGTTAACCATTTATTTTCTTTCCTTTCCTTTGTTCTTGGGCAACCAGAGGAATGTCACACATATCCCACCTGGGGCTAGCATGTACATTGCCCTCAGCTTGCTTTATTCTATCTTTTCACCCAGAGTCCCTTCTCTCCGGGCCCACCGCCCAAAGTGCAGGCCAGGGGAGCTGATTCTCCTGCAGCTAGTGGATGTGCACATGACATCTCCAGGAGTCTCATTTGAGGCCAGTGAGACCTCAAGACAGCCTCAGGTCAGGCATTTGACAACTCTGGCTGTCATGGTGACATCTTAGGAGATACTGCCCAGGGGTTGGGACCCATCACTCCCTCCCATGGACAGCTAATCCCCCATGAGGAAACTGCTTCCATGCAGGACAAAGCTGGGATCAGCCATGGCAGGAACAATTCTGGGGGCCCAGGCAGGGCCCCTGCGCTCCACAGCCCAAGACTATGGACAGAGATGGCAGATGTTATCACTGATCTCTCAAGGATAAGGCTGAGTCCTTGACTCACTGTGACCCCAAATACCTGGTGTCCAGTGCTTGCTTTGGCAGCACATATACTAAAATTGGAACCAAATACCCGGTGTCCAGAGCAGCAGAGTAGAGAGCTCTTTGAGGGCCCAGCCCCCCTCCCCTTTTCTCACATGCAGATGCATGTCTGCCTTTGTCCCCCACCAGGATGGATCGGGACTGTCACCTCAGAGCTCTGTTATGTCAAGCTGTCTCATTTGTGGGTGGTATGTCCAGCTTGGGGTTTCTGACCACCGGGCCCGCGGGAGGGGCCAAGTCCCTCAGGGGTAGCTGAGGTCTGGGTCTGCCCTACCAATGGGGCATGGAGGAGGGGAGGGGTTAACTCAAGCTGGGAGTGATGGGGCTTTGGAATGGTGGGGTGCAGAGCTGACAACCAAGAAAGAATTATTGAGACATCTTTGGTGCCCGAAAGGTGATTTTAATAAAGCACGGGGACAGAGAGAGCTGCACTGGAGTTGTGAAGAGTGACTGGTTGTATACTATGGGGTCGGCAGAGATAAAGTCAAGAGGAAGTCTCTAAATGGATTTTCATATGCTCAAGAAGACTCGCACATTGTTGAAGGCCTGGCTGTTGTCCAGCTAAGGTTGCTTTGTCCTCTAGCAAAGCATTAACATTAAGACAGTAGGGAATTTCTGGGGAAATGTGATACTCCATCTTTGCCTCAAGTAGTTGTCAATGGGCTGCAGGTCATAATGAAATTCCATGCCATCTGCCATTTCTTTCTCGCCTTTGTTCCCCATATCACTATGGGTGGGGGAGGGTGATGCTGGGTGCCTAAGAAACTGAGTATAGTTTTCTGGAGATTAGACTATTGATTAGATTCCCTTTTCTCGTAATGTACTGGGACTTAGATAAACTGTTGGAGACTCACATCCTGCAATACTGTGTTCTTTATCAGCGAACCACTTGTTTTCTTTCTTTTGTTTTGAGCAGCCAGGAAGGAAGGTCATACAGATCCCCTGGGGGAAGAGGTATGTTAGCACGTGCTTTGCCCTCAGCTTGCCTTAATCTCTCCCGTCAGGAACACTCCCAGGAGGCCTAAGGAGATGGGGGGAGAGAAAGGGTTTCTCACTCTTGCCAGGGTCTGGTGTGGGTCCCTAGGAGGGCCAGGATCTGGGCTTCATGAGCAGAACAAGGTACACACTGTCCTTCCCTATCAGGAATGTCCTCTTTCAGCTACATCCATTTCTCTGTCCCTTTGGAGAACCAGAAAGCAGCATGGGCTTTGTTGATGCCAGACATTCTGTGATGTCATCAGATGCAAGAAGGCGGCCCCACCACACTTACTCTACCCTGCACTTGGGCCCCAGCTGAGAGGCTCCTGGAGGTCAGAGAAGACAACTGGCCCAGATCTGAGACCCCTGTCCTCACACAGTGTTAACCAGGGGGAAGAGAGTGTAGAAGGAGTCACTGTCTCTGCCAAAGATGTGAAGATTTGAGAATGCATCCTCCAGCCTCCTGGACCTTCCTGACGCTCAGCTTGCATAATCCTGACCTGTGGGAAAGGGCACAGGTTGCCATGATCTTCAGCACGAGTTGCTGGCAATTGTCTTACCAGGATTTAGCAAAGGATGAGTCGCTCCACCCTGGGGTGAGCCATTGGCCACAGAGACCATAAATAGCATCCCCCCAGAAGCCTCCTCACTCATATCCTCTTTCAGGAAATATCTGGAGCGGTGCCTGCTTCTTCAGCCCTGAAGTCATGGCCCAGTGTCTCCTGTGGATGGGCCTTGCCTTGTTGGGGACCCTGCAGACCCAGGCCCAGGACTGCACCCCAAACCTGTACTCATCCCCGCCAGTGAGCAAGATCCCTCTGCAGCCTAACTTCCAGAACAAGCTGGTAAGGAGCCTGGAGGGGCAGCTGCAGGGAGGCCCCAGGAAGAGTGTGAACAGAGGGGAAGAGGAGGGGCTCAGGCTTTAGCTCAGTCTGCCCTCGGGTCCCCTGATGGAAGGCACAACCCATGCCCCCATTTGCACCCAACCTGGTTGACAAGAGGGTCAGATGAGCAGAACTCCCCTGGCCCACATTCTCGTCCATAATCCCCACAGTCCTTGCAATGTGGGAACATCTTCAGACCCTTTATATGAAGAGGAGACTGAGGCTCAGAGATGCCCGGTGGCCACTTGCCAAGGGTCACCTGTCCCTGACACACTCAGGGCTCCCACCTGGCCCTGATGGCTCCATCTCCTGCTGGCTTCATTAGAGCAGCATGTGTGGCCCTTTGTGTGCCTGCAGCCTAGTTAGTGGAGGCTTCTGGTTGATGGCCAAGCTGCCTAGAGGTGCCTGCAGGCATGGGTCAGGAGGGTCCCTGGGGCTGGTCCTGGCTCTGTCTATCATCAGCCCCCGTTGTAGTTCCAGGGGAAATGGTACGCCATAGGATTGGCAGGAAATGAAATTAAAAAAAAACACCGCCTGCTTAAGATGTTCACCGCCACCTACAAGCTGAACAAAGACGACAGCTACAATATCAAAGCTAAACTGGTCTGGTGAGAGCTACCACCTACTTGGAAGCATTGGGGACCTAGAGGGCTGCTCCGGGGTTCAAGAGGCAGACTGATGTCATAGCCTAGGGGTGACCAAAGCTGAAAGATGATCATTCATCCTACCACTGGGTACTGGATCCCTGTATTTATTCCTGCTCTCATTCACTACATCAACATTTCTTGGTCACTTCTGCACAGACACAAGACAGTACTGAGGAAGGGCACAGACAGGCATCAGGAAACAAGACAAAGAGAAGAGGGATGTCCTAGAAGGGGAGGAGGGTCAATGGATCCAGCCTAGAATTCCACCTAGGACTTTCTCAAGAGCTTCCAGGGAGGTGGTCTGTGGGCTGGGCCTTGAGGAACCAATCTGCACCAGAAGAGGCCTGGGACCTTCGTGGAAGGGCTGGTGGACTGAGTCAGAGGTAGCCACTTCTCCATGAAGCATCAAGCCATCGCATGGCTGCCCTGAGCAGGAGCTGATGAGTGGTCTGGAGTGGGGAGTGGCCAGTGGCAGGGGCCTCAGGTACTGGTGAGGAGCAGGTCTGGCTGCAGCAGGGAGAGGAATGATGGTGTGCAGCCCAGAAGGCTGATCAGTCATAAGTGGGACATAACCAGAGCGGTGTACAGAGAGGAATCAAGCATTACCCAGCTCCTCTGGGCTTCTGGCTTTGGCACTTGGGGATGGGGCTAGAGCATCTGTGATGGAGGGAGCAGAAAAAAGGCAGGTGTGGGGAGATCGGCTCTGGGTTCCCAGGGGACCAGATGGGATGCAGGTGGGAGGTCAGGGTTGGCCCAACAGCCAAGGGAGTCATTGGCCTCCAGCAGACTGGAGCCTCAGTAATGATTCCCCTGGCAAAGTACAGCAGGAAGTTGCAAGATAAGAACAGGGAATAGGAGCACCTGGATGGCTCAGTGGGTTGAGCATCTGACTTTGCTTAGGTCATGACCTTGCAGTTTGTGAGTTAGCCCCCAGCATCAGGCTCTGTGCTAACAGCTCAAGCCTGCAGACTGCTTTGGATTCTGTTTCTTCCTGTCTCTCTGCCCTTCCCCCACTCAAGTTCTGTCTCTCTCTTTCTCTCTCAAAAATTACTGACCGTCTAAAAAACATAAACAAACAAACAAAAAGAATAGAAGACAAAGGTCTCTGATGAAGTAGGGAGGGAAGGCCACCAAGCGGAAACAGCCCCATAGAAGGAAGGACAGCAGGTGCTGGGGGGAGAGTCTGAGCAGGTCAGGTGGCTCAGGGCAGAGTAGGCAGGGACAGACAGGGATGGGCTCAGTGGGGAAGAGCCAGGCCCATCTGAGGGGTGGGGGGCAGACCTCCTGCTGTGGCACGGTGGGCTATTACCCTCTTACCCACCCGTCTCTTGCTTCCACAGGAAAAAGCGTTGTGAGCCCTGGGCCAGAACATTTGTCCCAAGTCCCCATCAAGGCCTATATACCTTGGGCAATATTGAGCGTGAGTCCTGTGTGGGGTGGGTCTCTGGGGGCACGGACCTCCCTGCCGCTCCACCCAGACTCCATCCTGTGGAGGCCGGAGAGGAAGCATTAGCTCCCTCTGCCGGGCCAGGGAGGGCTGATCCCTCACCGTCCCCCATGCAGGTTACACCGGAACCTTGAGCTTCACTTTCGGAGTGGTGGCCACAGACTACAAAAAGTATGCCCTTGTGTTCTTCAAGAAAGTTCATAAAAACCAGGAGTACTTCATGATCGTCCTCTATGGTGGGTCTTACCCCCCCTGGGACCCGAATCTTGATCATACTGGGGGAGAAGGGGCCCATCGCACCCAGCCCCCAAGATGCCCTGCACCCCAAGCCCTCGGAGACCAGAGAGTGGTCTTTCCACAGAGCCCCTTACGAGGAAAGGGTCTGAGGTGTCATTCACACATTCAACAATATTTATGGAGCTTTTGCCAGCCACTCATTAGCCATCTTGGCCACAGGGAGAACTAAGGAGCTGACTTCTGGGCCGAAAGATCTCCTCATTGCCTTCGCCAAATCTATGGGCCTCCAGGATCACCACATCGTCTTCACTATCCCCAACGGTAATCTCCAGCTGGGGGAAGGAGAAGGGCACGTGTCTGATGTTGCCTCACTAGGGAAGAGGGGAGAGGAGGGACCCTGGCTCCTGTGGCAGTCACTGGAGCCCCAGGAACCACTCTGGGTTCAGGAAGACCCTGCCACAACCAGGGTTTTGGGCCCCTAGTTGCTTCCCTCAGGATATCCCTGGCCTGCCCACGTGAGATTTGCAGGGGCCAAGTTTCTTCAGTCTCCTGGCCTGGCCACTTCCCACTCCAGCCAGGCCTATTTGTCCTGGGCCACCTCGCCTTTGCCCTGGGCCTGGCTCACTACTGACTTGGGAGGCACCCTTGTCCTCAGGCAGCCTGGCCTGGGCAGGTGCCTCCCCAAGGCTGAGGGGCTGTCAGGGCTCAGCAGGTAAACAGGAAGGAGGCTTGGTGCCCAAGCAGGAGGGTGGCTGGGCCTCACCTGCCTCCTTTGGAGAATGGGTTTCACCCAGGTCTGCTTGTCCTCAGGCCTGTCCCCCAGTCCCCTGCCCCATCATGCAGCCCTCTGCGGCACCATGCCTGAAGGTAACCCCTAGAGCGTCTGTGGCTGGGCCAGCCTGGGGCCCAGGGCAGCCCAGGGGCAGTGCAGGGGCCCTGGAATTCAGGGATTCCACACACAGACCCCTACCCATACTAACCACTCTGTCCCCCACAGATCAGTGCCAGGGAGACTGAGCAAGCATGCAGTAAGTATGGCTGGAGCAGGGGATTATGGGAGTCAGGGTCCAGCTGGGAGGGGGTCCCAGGTCTGCCTTTGTCCCACCTGCCCAAAACTGCTGCCCTCTTTATTCCCTTGTCTCCCTCTCAGGTGCCCTTGACTCTCTCCAGCCAATCCCCCTCACACCGACCTCTGTCACAGCACTGCCTAGCCATGCTACGCAGCTGCCCCACCAGCCTGGACACCACTGGGAGAGCCAGAAGATCCTTCTCCCTGCACAGCCCACCAGCTGCTCCCCAGGCTGCCCTGTTGATGGAACACCTCCTTACTTGCTAAATAAACTTGTCCTCCAGACCCCAGACTGTGCTCCTTGACTTCTGGGCCCTCTGAGATGGAAAAGGGCAAAGGGCAGGCTCCTATTAGCATCACTCCCAGGAACTGTGGTCCCCAGAAAGGGATGAAGCAGAGTCCAGCTCCGACTGTAAACTACTAGCTCCCAACTCCAGGCTCAGCCCCAGACCAACAGGAGCCGTCACATGCCCCTGCCTCCTAGCACACTGCCGGAGTGTATCTCACAGCCATGTTCGGCCAGGTCAATGGCAGAGGCCCAACCAGAGCCAGGGGGCTGAGGTTATGTCACTCTCACTTCACCATCGATGAAGTTTTAGCAGTGATGGGGGTGTGGTCCAGAGCCAAGGTCCAAGAATTCTTGAAGACATCTTTGGTGCAAAAAGTGTGATTTTATTAAAGCGTGGGAACAGGCAGAAAGAGCTGTACTGGGGTTGTGAAGAGTGACTGCTTATACACTCTGGTGTTGGAGGTGGTAAAGTCAAGGGAAATCTTCTCAGAGATTTTCATGTCCTAGAGAAGATTTAGAGTACTGGAGGCCTAGCTATTGTCAGGCTAAGGTACTTTTTCCTCTAGCAAAGCATTAACACTAAGACAGTAGGGAGCCCCTTGGGGCGCCTGGGTGGCTTAGTCGGTTAAGCGTCCGACGTTCGCTTAGGTCATGATCTCGCAGTTCGTGGGTTTGAGCCCCGTGTCGGGCTCTGTGCTGACTGCCTGCTCAGAGCCTGGAGCCTATTTCAGAGTCTGTGTCTCCCTCTCTCTCTGACCCTCCCCTGCTCACGCTGTCTCTTTCTCTCTCTCCTAGAAATAAATAAAAATATTAAAAAAAAAAAAAAAAAAGACAGTAGGGAGCCCCTAAAGAAATGTTCCTCTCTGTCAGCCTCAAGTATTTGTCAGTGGGCTGCAGGGTATCAGGAAATTAAATGTTACCAGCCATTTCCTTCATGCTTTTGTTCCCCATATTACTATGGAGGAGTGATGTGGGGGCTCCATAAAACTGAGTCTATAGGTTTCTGGAGATTAGGCTATTGATAAGATTGCCTTTTCCTTCTACTTGACTAAGATATTTGTAAACCGATGGAGACTCATGTCCTGCATGACTGTGATCTCTGTCAGTTAACCGTTTGTTTTCATTCCATTTCTTTGTTTTTGGGCAGCTAGAATGCCTGAGGAAGGCCACACACATTCCACCGGGAATGGAGGAGGTGTAATGCGAGCTTGTACTATGCCCTTAGCTAGTCTTATGCTCTCTCATCATACCCCTCATAAACAGTTTTGACCCTTACATCTTTAAGGTTGTTGAAAGTGGAAGGCCTCATCTTCTGTAGCCTCTTCTTGCTCAGTAGGAGAGTACTGATGTCCCTACCTATGAGTCAATACTGATCATTTGGGGAACATAGAGAAGAGTTACAGAAGGCAGAGGCAGCTGAATTCCAGGTGGACAATGAGTATGAATCTCCTAGAGTAGAAAAGATCATCTCTTGATATGAGATGATTGTTGTGATGGAGTCTTGGCAGAGAGGCAGAGAGACATGGGAGAAAACAGCAAAACATAATTAGAATAAGAAGAAAGAGCAGCCCAAATAAACATCCTTTGGAAACTGATGAAAGTCTTCAAGTCCACAGGTTTAACCAATCATGAAAGGAATGAGAGGAATTTCTTTAAGCAACAATTTGAGTGTTCAGATCATTTAGTAATCCAGAAATATTTGTGTGATAATCTAGAATGTATAGTGATTGAAGTTTTGGGGGTTGGAAGGGTGGTCCGAAGCCTGTGGACAAGAAAGGTTTCTAGAAGACGTCTTTGTTGAAAAAAGGTGATTTTCTTAAAGCACAGGGACAGGACCCAGGGGCAAGAAGACAGCACTGGGGTTTGTGACTGGTAACTGCTTATGTATCTTCAGGTTGGGAGGGGTCAAGGATAGAGTAAGTTTCTAGGGTATTTTGGAAGCAAGATTTCCAGGACCTTGAGGGGCTAGATGTTGCTGGGGAAATGTCACTTGTTACAGTTGAATAAAACTTCAGTCGAAACCCTTCAGATGCATATGGGGGGGGTGGGGCAGGGCATAAGCTTGGTGTATGATTGCCAGCATATACCTTGAGGCAGTTGAGAGAAAGGAAGTAGACTTACAGGATCCTTGAGACAGGGATAATGTTGAGCTAAGGTTCTCTTTGCCTATAGCGAAGTGTCTTTAAGGAAGCAGCTGAGATCATAGAACGAGATCACTTGGCTGCTTAAAGAACTTGTCAAAGGGCTGACAATAAGGCGATTTAATTTTTCTTGACCTAGTTTCCCACATCACCATGGCAAGTACTTAAATGCCTTTCCTTTGTTCTTGGGTAGCCAGGGGGGTGAATATCACACATATTCTACCTGGAGGAAGGGAAGGATGTGCCACTCTGTTTTGCTCTCAGCTTACCCCGGGCGCTCCCTCATCACATATCCCAAAGCTATTGTAGTGATGGAGTCTTGGCACCAGGCAGAGAGCCGTGGGAGAAAACAATAAAACCTAAGTAGAATAACTAGAAAGATGAGTTCAAATGAAAAGTCCTTTGGTAGCTAACAAACATCCTCCAGTCCAAGAGTTTAACCCATCGCTAAGGAAAGAAAGAGATTGTTTAATATGCCAATTTGAGTATTCCTGTCAGTTAGAAATCCAGAAATGTTTTTGAGGTACTCGGGAAGGTATACCCACCATTTTGTTCTTAGGAGAATTTAAGTTTCACCTTGTGCAGTACATAAAACATCTACTGCCATTCTGTTTTGTAGGAGTGTTTTATGCATTTGAGTTATTTTAGTATTTAGTAATATAATGGTATTTTGAGAGTCATTTAAGACCTCAATTGTGTAACTCGTGGTGTATAGCCATCATGTAGACTCTTTTTTGTTTAGTAAGAAATCAGGTAATTAAACTGGGGCGCCTGGGTGGCTTAGTCGGTTAAGCGTCTGACTTCGGTTCAGGTCAAGATCTCACGGTTCGTGGGTTCGAGCCCACGTAGGGCTCTGTGCTGACAGCCAGAACCTGTTTCGGATTCTGTATCTCCCTCTCTCTCTGACCAGGGGAGGCCCTGTTCATTCTGTCTCTCTCTCTCTCTCTCTCTCTCTCTGAAATAAACAAAAAATTATAAAAAAAGAAATCAGGTAACTAAAAAGAGGCACCTTTATAGAAACAAGGAAAATACAGGTTAATGGTTAGAGCAGATTACAAACCCAGTGTCTCTCAGTGCTGCCAGTGAGATTTTTTAGATGTTAGGCTAGAAGCATCCTCGGATGCTTGTGGGAACAGTCAGCAGGAATCAGATTAGTCTTCTTGGTTTGTAACTCAAATGTCTGTGCTGATGCATTTGAATGGCCTATTGTAAGAAGGAACTGTTAGTAGACATTGAGAAAGGAGGATGAAAATGAAAGGTCCAGCCATCCTAAGAGAAGTTGGAGGTCTTGCACAGGTTCACAGGAATATGCAGGCACATTAGTTTCCTCACTGAATTCCTGTGAAGGGGGTCCAGGTTTTATTTTAGATATAGGAGCCCATGAAGTGTTCCCCTCTAACTTTATTGCAGTGGGGATACATACTATGACCCAGTAGGGACCCTTTCATTTTGCATTAAATCCTCTGTTGTATTAGACTTTCAATCCTTTAAATAAACCAGGAGTTTTGGGTTTATATGGGGTGGGTTTCTAATAACTCTCCGATCAGGTGTAGGGAGTATATGGTAGCCATATGCAGAGATTTAGGAATTAACTTGGCCTTGAGTGAATAATAAATCACTATAGTCTTTATCTAGTCATAGGTCTACAGTGTGAGAAAAGTCTTTGCATACAATTTTTGGGGGAATCCATCCCATTTTCCTGTTATTTAAATAACCATATGCCCATGGGGTCTTATGATTATCCCCACTGAATAACAAGCACAGAAGATTTTCTATACATGAAACAAAATATTGTGACCATTTTTCTGAAGTTTATCTCACGTTGTCTAGTTTAGGCGAACAGCAAACATTTAAAGACCATCAGAAACAGAATTTAACATCCAGAGAGCTACATTATGGAAACATAGCTTTTCTCCCTAAAAACCTTCATTTCCAGGGATAGCCAAATCAAATCTATTCATTTCCAAAACAAGTCCAGTTTTAACAAACTTGGCCTAATGATTTACATAAGCTCAGCTAGAATGGTGATTAATCGTAAGGATCTTTTAAAATTTGCTTTGCTGCAATCTTTCATAAGGAATCTCCAGATTGAACTGGAGATTGAACTGATTGGCCTCTCCAGGACAGAAGCCAAGCCAAACGTGCAATACCTGTAGACTTGGGTGAATTCCTCTCCACGAGGTCCCCAAGATAAGGGTCCTGCACCTGCTCTGAAGTGACATTCTTTACTCACCTGTTAAGGCTGCTGGGAACTCTCTGAGTAAGGTATCAGACCAACATTTCCAAGGGGCTTAATGGCTCCATGTTTCATAAAGTCAACCTTAGTTCCTTAAAGCTGTATGGTCATATCTGAATCTATGCATGTCACTCTCAAATAGGACATTACAGCCAAAGCCTTGGCAAAACAACTAGTATTCCTGGGGTGCCTGGGTGGCTCAGTGGGTTAAGCATCTGACTTTGGCTCAGGTCATGATCTCACAGTTCGTGGGTTCAAGCTCCACGTCGGGCTCTGGGCTGACAACTCAGAGCCTGGAGCCTCTTCAGATTCTGTGTCACCCTCTCTCTCTGCTCCTCTCCTGCTCATGCTCTCTCTTGCTCTTGCTTTCAAAAATAAACAAACATGAAAACAACAACAACCAGTATTCCCAAGGGTCTCCTGTTTACGAGAAGAATCTTACTGCACTTATGCAAATACCTGTAATTGCCATGAAAGAAAGAATACTCACTGAGTGTTTGAATTTCAGAGGGTTTAGGTAGAGAGAAAAGTTAAATGTTTCTATTTACAAATGAATACTTTGTGACATCTTTGTACATTATAGATACATTAAGAGAAAATTTCCTTGATCTGGAAGAGAAAACATTAGAGATATTTCTAACAAGAGTCAAAAAAAATATATAAGCTTCCTCAGTTTATTTAGTGTCATGTTCCTATTGCTCGTTCAGTTTGAATGCAGCTTTTTAGTTCTGGAAATTCTTACCCATTTTAGTATTAATCTTAAAGATATCAAATACCTGCATTTCTCCTAAAAGTCCTTTTATGAATCTCCTTGAAGATGAAATATGTTTTGTGGGAGAACAAGAATTATAAATGACAATATCTCAGAAATGGACATTGTTAAAGATCTGGTGAGAGTTCATTATGATGCAATTGACAAGGAAACAGTCATTTCTGTGACACATAACACGTCAATAATTAGAATATCAAGTAAGGACCCTATGCCAAGATATTAAAACTTTAAGAATTGCATGTACATTTGAGCAGTTACAGCATTTAGCCATGCAATACAACCTAAGGTTTACCATTATTTGACAGTGTCTTTCCAAGTAACTTAGCATGCCAAATAGAAAGGTCTAATTGGTCAAAATCTTGGGAAAGTTTGTTAAACCCTCAGAAACTTATAGAGCACATTCTAAATAGGTTTATAAATCATTACAAATCTTAAAACTTTATTTATTTAAACAAGATGGTAATAAGAGATTCCAAAGGCAAATGTGTAGCATTGTATAGTTGTTAGCAAAACCTAGCTCCTTTACTATTGTGAAGTTTTAACTTTAAGTAATCAAAGACTCGATAAAAAGGAAACCTAAAGCTTTGGTCTTCCCAGCAGACAAGAGAGAAAAAAAATTTGTTTACATTTTCTTAGAGAAAAAAAAACATTTGTTTACATTTTCTTATCAAGAGCAGATCAACAATCCCAGGAAACTGTCCTTTAAAAAGAGAGAAAAGCAGCATTTCTACCTTAGACCAGTGTACTTTTAAAATCCATTCTTCTTAACCTTAGTCCATCCTGACCATAGATAAAATTCCTTTCCAATAATTTCCTTTCATGAACCTTCTACAACTTTCTTTTGCCTTCAAATTTTGTCCCAAGCCCATTTCTCTCCAAACAACCAGTCTCATTTAGGACAAAATTATTTTCTTGTGCCCTCAAAACAAAAAATGTATTTCTATTCCTTATATCTTTCTTACATATCTCCCACTTTCCTACATACAGAGTTGTTTTCCTTATTTTCCCTAATGTTAACTCTTAGAAACCTTAGTCTCCAATGAAAACTTAGTAACCAATCGTAAACTGTTACAACCGAATTCTTTAGACGGCAAATTCATTAATCAATTAAGTAGAAAGCATGTTTTCCAACAGACCCAAATATTCTTAGTTTCTCTGCAATAAGAAGTCAAAAGCATAAACCTACATTCAGTAACCAATGCCTTAGCACCGCATTCTATTGGGAAAACACCTAGATAGCCAACAAATTCAATCCCATTTATCCAATGTCAGATTACCAAAGACTTTGAAACCTATCTTAACAATTATCTATGAAAAGTTTGAGTTACACAAAATTAACCATTATTTTTTAAATTAAAAAAAGTTATTTCTGAGAGAGGAGGAGAGACAACGTGAGCAGGGGAGGGTCAGAGAGACAGGGAGATACAAAATCTGAAGCAGGCTCCAGGCTCTGAGCTAGCCATCAGCCCAGAGGCCGACACGGGTCTTGAACTCACAAACCGTGAGTTTTCAGATCATGACCTGAGCTGAAGTTGGACACTTAACCGACTGAGCCACCCAGGCGCCCCAAAATTAACCATTATTTTAAGTCATCTTTTTGCTAACAAATTCCAACAGAGCCCTCCTAAGCTTATTTGACCTTTAGGAAACTTGGTAGGGGCGTAAGCATTCCAATAAGACCATACTCCTTGAAAAGCCCTGAAATAAGAGTAAGGGAAGAAAGGCGAACATACTCACCAAGTTTGCACCGAAGCTCAGATTTCAGATGAAAAGACTCAGACCCCACATTAGGCACCAAATGATGAGGTTTAGAGTGGGGGTGTGGTGTTCCAGAGGTGACAGCCAAGAAAGAATTATTGAAGACGTCTTTGGTGGAAAAGAAAGTGACTTTACTAAAGCGTGGGGACAGGATGTGGGAAGCTGCATTGGGGTTGTGAAGAGTGACTGGTTATATACTATGAAGTAGGGGGAAAGAAAGTTAAAAGTTAAAAGTCCAGAAGGACTTTGATATGCTGAAGAGGACTCCTAATCTACCTGAGGCCTTGCTATTGTCAAGCTAAGGTTCTTTCACCTCTAGGAAGGCATTAACTTTAGGAACGGTAGGGGTTTCTGGAGAAATGTTGTACTCAGTATTCGCCTCAAGTATTTGTCACTGAGCTGCAGGGTATCAGGAGAGTTAATTTTACCTGACATTTCCTTCTTGCCTTTCTTCTCCACATCACCATGAGTGGAGGCTGTTAATAGGGGCTCAGGAAATTGAGTCTATAGGCTTCTGGGGATGAGACTATTGGTAAGATTGCCTTTTTCTTCTAATTTATGAAGATATTTATAAACTGATGGAGACTCATGTCCTGCATGACTGGGATCTCTATCTGTTAACCATTTGTTTTCTTTCCTTTCCTTTGTTCTTGGGCAGCCAGAGGAATATCACACATATCCCACCTTGTGGGAGAGAAGGATGGGATTTTAGCTTGTACCTTACCTCAGCTTGTGTTATGCTCCCTCTTCACCCAGAGTTCCTTCTCTCAGGGCGCACCACCCAAAGCCCAGGCTAGCGGAGCTGGTTCCCCTGAAGCAGGTGGAAGAGCCCATGAGGTCTCTGGGGGTCTCATCTGAGGCCAGTGAGCCCTCAGGTCAGCCTCAGATTAGGCATTCAACTGCTCCAGCCCATGAGGTGACATCTAGGAGACAATGCCCAGGGGCTGGGACCCATCACTGCTTCCCATGGACAACCAAGCCTCCATGAGGAAACTGCTTCCCTCCAGGACAAAGCTGGGATCAGTCATGGCAGGAACACTTCTGGGGACCCAGGCCTGACCCTGGGCTCCACAGTCCAAGACTATGGCCAGAGATGGCAGATGTTATCACTGATCTCTCAAAGATGAGGCCGAGTCCTTGCACTCACTGTGACCCAAAGTATCCGATGTCCAGAGTGGCTGGGGGAGAACCCCTCTTGGGGCCTACCCCTTTTCACACAGTGAAGATGCATGTCCCCAGTTGACCTCCACCAGGATGAAGCTGGGACTGTAGCCTCAGAGCTCTGCTCTGTCAAGCTGTCTCATTGGTGGCTGGCATGCCCAGCTTGGGGTTTCTGACCACTGGGCCACAGGTGGGGCCAAGTCCCTCAGGGGTCAGCTGAGGTCTGGGTCCACCCTGCCAATGGGCATGGATGAGGGGAGGAGGGGCTGACTCAATCTGCGAATGATGGAGCTTTGGAATGGTGGGGGTTCAGAGCTCACAAGAATGAATTCTTGAGACACCTTTGGTGCAAAAAAAGGTGATTTTGTTAAAGCACAGGGACAGGACCCTAGAGCAGAAAGAACGGCACTGGGGTTGTGAAGAGTGACTGGTTCTATATCATGGGGTTGGGGGACATAGAGTCAAGACAAAGTTTCTAAAGGGATTTTCGTATGTTCAAGAAGACTCACACATTCCTGGAGACCTAGCTGTTGTCAAGCTAAGACATAGGTAAACTGATGGAGACTCAAGTCCTACAGAACTGTAATCTCTATCAGTTAACCATTTGTGTTTTTTCCTTTCCTTTGGCCTTGGGCAGCCAGGTGTGCCTGGGGAATGTCACACAGCTCCTACCTGGGGGAGGGGCATGTTAGCATGTGCTTTGCCCTCAGCTTGCCTTATGCCCCTTCATCAGGAACACTCCGAGTAGCCTTGGGTGGTAAGGGCAGGGGAAGGGTGTCTCCCCCCGGGCAAGGGCCTGTAGTGGGTCCCTGGGAGGGCCAAGATCTGGGCTCCCTGAGCAGCACATGGTACATTCTGTCCTTTATTGTAAGAACATCCTCTTTCAACTACCTCCCCTTCCCTGTCCCTTTGGAGAACCACAAAGCAGCATGGGCCCTGTTGGTGTGAGGCATTCTCTGCTTTCATCAGGTGCAGGGAGGGGGCCTCAGCACACTTACCCCACCCTGAACTTGGGCCCCAGCAGAGAGGCACCTGGAGGTCAGACATGGCAGTGGTCCAGATCTGAGACCCCTGACCACACACAGTGCTAACTGGGGGGAAGAGACTGTGGAGGAAGTCACTGTCCCTGCCAGAGATGTGAAGATCTAGGGAACGCCCCCTCCCTACCTCCCCGACCTTCCTGACCCTCATCTTGCATAATCCTGACCTGGGGGAAAGGACAGAGAGCTTGCCATGATCTTCAGCACGAGTTGTTGGCAATTGCCTCACCCTTCCAGGATCTGGCAAAGGATAGATAAGTCGCTCCACCCTGGGGTGAGCCATTGGCCACAGAGACCATAAATAGCATCCCCCAGAAGCCTCCTCTCTCATCCCTTCTTTCAGGGAATATCTGGAGCAGTGCCTGCTTCCTCCGCCCTGAAGTCATGGCCCTAGGTCCTCTGTGGCTGGGCCTTGCCCTGTGGGGGGCGCTGCACACCCAGGCCCAGGACTCCACCCCAAACCCGATCCCAGCCCCGCCTCTTCACAAGGTCCCTCTGCAGCCTGACTTCCAGAACGAGCTGGTAAGGAGCCTGAAGGGGCAGCTGCACGGAGGCCCCGGAATGAGTGTGAACAGAGGGGAGGAGAGGCAGGATGGGCTCAGGCTTTAGCTCAGTCTGCCCTCAGGTCCCCTGATGGAAGGCACACCCCAAGCCCCCATCCACACTCAACCTTGATGACAAGAAGGTCAGATGAGCAGAACTTCCCTGGTCCACAGTCTCTTCCATAATCCCTGCAGTACATGCAATGTGGGAACACCTTCAGGCCCTCTACATGGTGAGGAAACTGAGGCTCAGGGACGCCAGCTGGCCACTTGCCAAATGTCACCCTGTCCCTGACACACTCAGGCCTCCTGTCTGGCTTGATGGACTCCAGCTCCCACTGGCTTCATCAGTGCATCCTGTGTGGCCAGTCTGGGTCCCTGCAGCCCCATTAGAAGAGTTTCTGGTTCATGGGGCGCCTGGGTGGCTTAGTCAGTTAAGCGTCCGACTTTCGCTTAGGTCATGATCTCGCGGTTCGTGGTTCGAGCCCCGCGTCGGGCTCTGTGCTGACTGCCAGCTCAGAGCCTGGATCCTGTTTCAATCTGTGACTCCCTCTCTCTCTGACCCTCCCTTGCTCACGCTGTCTCTCTCTCTCTCTCCTAGAAATAAATAAAAAACATTAAAAAAAAAAAAAAGAGTTTCTGGTTCAGGACCAAGCTGCCTAGAGGTGCCTGCAGGCATGGAGCGGGAGGGTCCCTGAGGCTGCTCCTGGCTCTGCCTGTCATCAGCCCCCACTGTAGTTCCAGGGGAAATGGTACATCTTAGGAGTGGCAGGGAATGAAATTAATGAAGAAAAACACAGCCAGTTGAAGATGTACACCACCACCTACGAACTGAATGAAGACAACAGCTACAATGTCACCTTTATCCTGCCCTGGTGAGAGCCACCACCTACTAGGGGAGCATGGGGCTGGGGGAGTCTGAGGACGGTACTGGAGGTACAAGAGTCAGACTGATGTCATAGCTGAGGGGTGATCAAAGCTGAAGGATGATCATTCATCCTACCATTGGGTACTGGGTCCCTGCATTTATTCCTTCTTTCATTCACTACATCAACATTTCTTGGTCATTTCAGCACAGACATAAGACAGTACTGGGAATAGACACAGAGTGTCATCAAGAAACAAGACAGAGAGAGCAGGGGTGTCCTAGATGGGGAGAGGGGCACTGGATCCAGCCTGGGATCCCACTAGGGTTTTGTCAAGAGATTCCAGGGAAGTGGTCGGTGGGCTGGACCTTGAGGAAGCAACCTGTGTCAGAAGGAGGCCTGGGACCTTCGTGGAAGGGCTGGTGGACTGAGTCAGAGATAGCCACTTTTTCAAGAAACAGCAAGCCATCGCATGGCTGCCCTGAGCAGGAGCTGATGAGCGGTCTGGAGTGGGGAGTGGCCACAGTGGCAGGGGCCTCAGGTACTGGTGAGGAGCGGGTCTGGCTGCAGCAGGGACAGGAATGATGGTGTGCAGCCCAGAAGGCTGATCAGTCATAGGTGGGAGATGACCAGAGCTGGGGCAGATTAGGACCTAGAGAGAGGAGCCAAGGATTTCCCAGCTCCTCTGGGTTTCTGTCTCTAGCACTTGGGAATGCGGCTAGAGCATTTGTGATGGAGAGAGCAGAAGAAGGGCAGGTATGGGAAAATCGGCTCTGGGTTCCCAGGGGATCGAATGGGATGCAGGTGAGAGGTCAGGATTGGCATAGCAGCTAAGGGAGTCTTTGGCCTCCAGCAGACTGGACCCTGGGTGGTGATTCCCTCGGAAGAGGTTACAGCAGGAAGCCTCAAGATAAGAATTGGGGACAGGGACGCCTGGGTGGCTTAGTGGATTAAGTGTCCGACTTTGTCTCAGGTCACGATCTCAAGGTTTGTGGGTTTGAGCCCCATGTTGGGCTCTGTGCTGACAGCTCAGACCCTGAAGTCGGCTTTGGATTTTGTGTCTCCTTCTCTGTGCCCCTCCTCCACTCATGCTCTGTCTCTCCCTCTCTCTCTCTCAAAAATTAATGAACACCTAAAAAAAATTAAAAAAAAGAATAGGGGACAAATGCCTTAGTTTGTGGGGACAGTATGGAGGGAAGGCCACCAAGGGGAAACAGCTCTGAAGAAGGAAGGACAGTAGGTACAGAGGGAGAGTCTGAGCAAGTCAGGAGGCTCAGGGCAGAGTAGGCAGGGACAGACAGGCATGGGCTCAGTGGGGAAGAGCCGGTCCCATCTGAGGGGTGGGGGGTGGACCTCTTGCTGTGGCACGGTGGACCGTCACACTCTTACCCACCCATCTCTTACTTCCACAGGAACCAGCGCTGTGATCCCTGGGGCACAACTTTCATCCCAAGTTTCCAGCCAGGCCTATTCACCCTGGGCAACATTGAGCGTGAGTCCTGCGTGGGGTGGGTCCCCCGGGGGCACGGACCTCCCTGCCGCTCCACACAGACACCATCCTGTGGTGCCAGGGGAGGAAGCAATAGCTCCCTCTGCTGGTCCAGGGAGGACTCTCCCCCTCCCCATCCACCATGCAGGTTACCCTGGAATACAGAGCTACACGGTACGAGTGGTGACCACAGACTACAATGAGGTTGCCACGATGTTCTTCATGAAAGTTTACAACAACCAGGAGTTCTTCAAGATCACCCTCTATGGTGAGTTTTACCCCTGCTGGGACCCAGCTCTTGGCCATGCTGGGGGAGAAGAGACCCATCGCACCCAGTCCCCAAGGTGCCCATCACTCTGAGCCCTGGAGGCGGGAGAGGGGCCTTTCCACAGAACCCTCATGAGAAAGGGGTCTGAGGCCTCGTTCACGGGTTCCACAATATACATGGAGCTTTTGCCAGCCACTCACCAGCCATCTTGGCCACAGGGAGGACCAAGGAGCTGAGTCCTGAGCTGAAGGAGAACTTCATCGGCTTTGCCAAATCCCTGGGCCTCACTGATGAGCACATCGTCTTCCCTGTCCCCAATGGTAATCACCAGCTGGGGAGAGAAGGTCAATGGGGACTGTCCAAGCCTGATGTTGCTTCATTAGGGAAGGGGGAAGAGGAGGGACGCTGGCCCCGGCTGGGGTCACTGGAGTCCCGGGAGCCACTTTGGGTTCAGGAAGACCCTGCCACAACCGGGGTCTGGGCCCCAAGTGTTCCTCCCTCATGATAGCTCACATGAGAATTGTAGGCCTGGGGCCATGTTTCTTCAGTCTCCTTGCCTGGCCACCTTTATCTCCATCCAGGCTGTTTGTCTTGGGCCACCTCCCCCTTTGCCCTGGGCCTGGCTCACCACTGACTTGGGAAGCACCCTTGTCCTCAGGCAGCCTGGCCTGGGCAGGTGCCTTCCCAAGGCTGAGGGGCTGTCAGGGCTCAGCAGGTAAATAGGAAGGAGGCTTGATGCCCAAGCAGGAGCGTGGCTGGGCCTCACCTGCCTCCTTTGGAGAATGGTGTCACCCAGGTCTGCTTGTCCTCAGGCCTGTCCCCCAGTCCCCTGCCCCATCATGCAGCCCTCTGCTGCACCTTCCCTGAAGGTAACCCCTAGAGCTTCTGCGGCTGGGGCAGCCTGGGACCCAGGGCACCCCAGGGGCAATGTAGGGGCCCTGAAAGTCAGGGATCCCACACACACTGCTACCTAATCCGACCACTCTGTGCCCCACAGATGAGTGCATATATAAGTGAGTGAGCATGAGGTAAGTATGGCTGGAGCTGGGGCTGATGGGAGCCAGGGTGCAGCTGGGAGGGGGTCCCAGGTCTCTCTTTGTCCCACCTGCCCAGCACTGCGGCTCTCTCTATTCCCCTGTCTCCCTCTCAGGTGCCCTCTGACTCTCTCCACCCCCACCCCCTCCCTCTGACCTCTCCCCAGGGCACAGCCCAGCTGTCCCCACCAGCCTGGACACCATTGAGAGAGCCTGGAGACCCCTCTTACTTCACTGCTCCCCAGCTGCTCCCTAGACTGCCCTGCTCATGGAACCCCTCCTTGTTTGCTAAATAAACATGTCCCCCGGTTTCCCGTCTGTGCCTCTTGACCTCTGGGCCCTCAGAGAGGGAAAAGAGCAAAGTGCAGGCTCCTATTAGCATCACGTGCAGGAAATGAGGTCCCCAGAAAACGATGGAAGCGACAGAAGCAGAGCCCACCTCCCACCGAACACTTCTAGCTCCCAACTCCAGGCCCGGGCCCAGACCAGCAGCCGCCCTCACTCACCCCTGCCCCCAAGCACACTGAGGGGGCACATCTCACACTCATGTTCAGCCCCCTGCAGCAGGTCCAATGGCAGAGGCCCAGGGCCAGGGAGCTGGAGAGGCGTCAGGGGTTGAGTGCTGTCACCCCTACTTTATCAGGACCCCATGGATGCTGGAAGATTGCAGCTCGGGCAACAGGGGTGCACAGAGGGTGAGGCAGAAGGTTGCCCGGCTTGAGACTGTGCCAGGCACAGAGTGTCAGCAGAGGCGGTCCCCTTTCCCTCTGCGAGGCCCCTACGGGCACACTGGTGGGTGGCAGTGTCCGTGCGGACCACATGCTGAGTGCTGCCCACATCTCTCCCCGTGAGGATCCCTGGATCACCTGGAGCAAGGCCAGGTGTCAGCGCAGAGCCCGCTTCGGATCCTCTGTCTCCCTCTTTCTCTGCCCTTCCCCTACTCACACTCTCTCTCAAAAACAAAAAAAAAATTTTTTTTAATAGAAATAAAAAGTAAAAATAAATAAATAAATAAATAAATAAACGTCATGTCATCACATCTGTACAGGTCCTTTTCCCAAATAAAGTACTGGTCTCAGATTCCAAGGATTAGGATCCAGGTGTCCAGCCTGGATCCAGCCCACCGCACTGGGCTTAGAGAGGGAATGATGGTCGGACTATGGGCCAGGGAGATCGAGGTGAACAGGGACCCCAGAAGCAGGGCAGCACCAAGGCACACGCCCTTCCCCCATTGGGGCTGGAGGGAGTAGGTGACTGTTTTGTCCTGTGGTCTGGTTTATGGGCCTTCACCAGGGGAGTGAAATGGGCAGAGGGAGAGGCCCTCCCTGGGACCACAGCACTCCACCAACCAGGAGCGTGCCTGGGGGGCAGCTGGGCATTCAGATGGGCACTCAGACTTGTGCATTATGCATCCCTGTGCAGGCTCCACACATGCGTATTTGCATCCACCTGCTGGGTCCACGTGGCATGTGTATCTGCGCATGCCTTGCCTGTCTTTCTGAGAGTGTTTTTGCCCATCCCATGTTTCTCCCCTGCTCTGTGGGCTCACACATAGAGTCAGGGTCTGTGATCCCAGGCGTGGTTTCACAGCTGAGAGAAAAACATGTGCCCGTGTGTTGTGTTTCTTTGGCTGTCTCATGCTTACAGGGATAGATGCGTTTGGATTATGTCAGCACGTCCACATATGTGACTGGTGTTTCTGCCGTGTCTCTGCAGATCTGTGTGCAACATGAAGCTACAGGTGTTTCTAGGCCATGCAGGGCACGTGGGGCTCTGCTCTCTTGGCTGGTGAGATGCTTGATCCTAAGGAGGGCCTCTAACCCATCAGCCAAAGGGGGATGCCCAGCCGTCTTTGTCAGCCCCGCTCACTGGGCCAATGCAGGCCTCACCCCCACTCAAGCCGGTTCAGGGGAAGACTGAACTGCCAGTACGCAAGTCCGCGGTGCCTGTGATTGCCGGCTGTGGACTCAACCTCACCTCCACCTTTCTCAGGCCAAGTGATGGGACAGCTTCTGGGGCACAGAGGATCCCTCCCTGTTGTCATCATTTGGGACATACCCAGATCCCCGCTGCGGCCTGACATTGCAGGCTTGACGATGTGAACATAAATCTTCTGAAGCCATAGGAAGCCTTAGAAGCCATGCGTCTCAGGTTTTGCCCACGCGGAGGCGCACGCTCCGGAACTCACAGGTCCCCACCTGCAGGAAGGGCACCCCACCCCTCTGCCGGGCTCGCTTGCCCTAGCTGGGGGCCTGCACCCCCACCACCTAGGCTCTTCAGCCCGCAGCCCGGGAGAACCACACCCGGAGACCTGGAGAGGGGCGGGGCTCGGGGGCGGAGCTCGACTGTGAAGCAGGGTGTGGGCGGGACACGGTACGTGGGGGCGGAGTCTAACGGCTGGCGGGGGAGGAGTTCTGGCGGCGGGGCGGGGTGGGGGCGGAGCTCGGGCCGCGCGGTTCCGGCCTTGGGAGCGGGGCCCCGGGAGGCCGGCCGTGATCAGCCGAGCTGTTCCACTCTTCCGGCCCAGCGTTCCATCCGGCGGCGCCACCCTCCGCCCGGCGCCGGCTGTCGGCGCGACGGTCGCCCGGTTCCGTCGTCGTGCTGCCCTCGCGGCGCCGGAGCCCGCAATGTCGGGCCCCAACGGGGACCTGGGCATGCCGGCGGAGGCGGGCGCGGAAGGCGAGGATGACGGCTTCGGGGAAGCAGGTGACCCAGGGGCGCTGCTGAAGCGACCTTTGCTTTCTCAGGGCTGCCTCCTGGAAAGGAGAATCGGGGTGGGACTGGGGGCTTGGAAGGGACCGCAGAGCCCTCCCACCCCTCGCTCCTGGGTGTGTTTCAGCTGCGGGCACCGGCCGGGGGTTCAGGGCGAGCACCAGTGAGTGGGTCCCTGGAAACCGCAGCATTGGAGAACTGCAGGCAACCGGCCCCGTTTTACAGATGGGGAAACTGAGGCCGCTTCAGGGTCACTCGCCCTTTTGGCATTTGCTCCAGCCATTTCCTCCAGCCCCTATGGAGAGGGAAGCTCCTGAGGGGGCTGGGCGGGTGAGCCGTTTTGGCTTAGCAGAAGGGGCTGGGTGGGCGAATCCGTCCTGCTGAGTCAGCATCCCCAGCCACCTTTGCTAGTGTGACCTGGAGTCTTGGCGAATGTGACCTGCTTACAGAGCAGCCTGTTGCCTATACAGCACTGCGGGAGCGGGGTGGGGGTGGAGAGAGAACCATCAGCCCCCCTTTCATCTTTGGGAGCCTCAGTTTCCCCATCTGTAAAATAAGAATAATAATTAGTGTCTCTTGCATTGAGATGTGTCAGGATTAAATGAAAAAAACAAATGGAAAATAGTAGGTTCGAAGCATGCAAGTGGGTGAGTGGTTATTATTCTCTTTAGTGTAATAAAGATGGGTTTCTCAAGTCAGAAGGCAGGACCTAGTAAATATGAGATAAGTATGGAGTCTGCTTTTTGTTTTGTTTGGATAACAGCTTTATTGAGCTATAATTCACATACTATACAATGTATTCATTTAAAATGTACATGTCAGTGGATGTTAGGATATTCAGAGTTGTACATCCATCACAATAGTTTTAGAACACTCTGATCACCCAGGGTCTGCATTTAATAAAGAGGTAGAGGGCCTCCCACAGGGTGGCAAGTGGTGGGCTGGCCAGTTTTCCCTCAGCACTGCAGGTCAGCAGCGGCCAGATGTGTGTAATTGAGCCCACCACAGTGGTGGGAGCCATCCGGAAAAGCCACATAAGTGTCACAATGAGTAGACGATGGCAGATTCACGGGACTTAGTACAGTGGGGAGGAGGCTTAGAAGGCAAAGCTTAGAACTAGGAAGTGCCCTTGACACGGATAAAGCCTGACCCCAGTGCTGTGGAAACACTCGCCTCCCCCATCCTGTTTCGGGCCTGTGTCTCATGACACAAAATGTACCGGGTTGATAATAACCATCTACTAAGTACTTGCTGTGGCCAGACCCTGTCTGAGTTCTTCATGTATTTGAATCCTCACGACAAGCCAGTCCTTAGTCCCTTTCCAAAAGACGCAGTCACTTGCTGGGGTGGAGTAGAGCTGGGAATGAAACCCGTGTGCCCCTGCTATCTCTAAATCTTGGCTATGCCACCAACCAGCTGCTGGATCCTGGGTAGGTCCCTTCCTTCTTGGGCCTCGGTTTCCCCATCTGTACCATAAGGGGGTTGGACTCTTAAGATCCAGCAGAGACTTTCCAGGACTCTGTGAGGTGTGCCAGCTCTGGATGATGGTGCTTTCCCCCTCAGAATGCAGACGCACCTGCACCCATATCCCAGACACACTCCTCCAGCCCTGGCCTTTTCCAAACACTGCCGGCCGCTTCCCCTTTGTCCCAAGCTGGCACCTGAGTGTATCTGAGTCATGGGCTGGCTCAGAACTGGGTCTGCAGTGGGCACAGGCCCAGCCCTTGGATCCTAAGGGACATTGTGTTGCTGAGAGGCAGGGCAGGAATGGCCATGGAGGAGGGAGTGACAGTTTCTGGTGGACACCAGGGAAGGCTTCTTAGAAGAGACGTTTTGAACTGGTCCTTGAATAGCTGTTGTGGTTGAGGCATTCTGAGTGTCAGAGACAGACGGGCAAAGGCAGAAAGGCTAGAAAGTCAGAGGCTTCATGCATTCATTCGTTCAACAAGTGCTTATAGTGTGGCCGTGAGGGCGTCAGGGGGGCCGCAGTGAACACAAGGGCATTCCCCCTCTCGAGAGCTCTTCAGTCTGGTCAGGGAGACACAGCAGCACACACAACAGTCAGGCCAGAGGTGAAGGCTGGCGGTGGAGGTATGTGGAGGGCAAGGCGATGAGAAATAGAGGCCTGATCCGGTCTGGGGCATCAGGAAGTCTCCCTGTGGCAGCACCCATGCTAAAACTTGAAGGAGGGGAGGGGGAAGAGGGGAAAGGAAGACAGAAGAAGGCCGCATTGCAGGCGAAGGCAACAGCAGCCTCTTCTAGCACCTTCCTCCTCCTCAGGTGGGCAAAGGCGGGTGGGGAAAGGAAAGAGTTTGGGAGGTGGGGCCAGAATGGGGGCGGGGCCTTGGGGTTGGGGATGTTCTTTTCCCTCAGGGCAGTGGGAGCCGCAGTAGGGCTGGAGAGTAGGGCCTGCCTGGGGTGGGCTCCGGCCTCTAGGCAGCGGATGTAGGAAGTGGAGAGAAAACCTCCCCCGGACCACCCTGACCCTAGGAAAAGGGATGGTTCGCTAAGGTGTTATTTCTTCAAAGCTTTTCATTTTTGGTATCCACCCATTTCTGATGGTGACACAGAGACTCAGGAAGGAGTAGGGACTTGCCCAAAGCCCTTTTATCCCCCAGGCCTGGAGACAGGGTCGGGAGGGGGCGGGTATTTATGAGCCCCGAGGAGATGGGACCTTGGCTCTCTTTTCCCTTCCTCCCAGAATATGCTGCCATCAACTCCATGTTGGACCAGATCAACTCCTGTTTGGACCACTTGGAGGAGAAGAATGACCACCTTCACGCCCGCCTCCAGGAGCTGCTTGAATCCAACCGACAGACGCGCCTTGAGTTCCAGCAGCAGCTCGGGGAGGCCCCTACTGATGCCAGTCCCTAGGCTCTGGGAGCCTCCAGCCAGCCCACGCTGTGTCTTCCTGGGCTAGGCTCTGGCCTGGGCACTCACCACCTGGCTTAGATACCTTCTTAAGGGCAGGCCTGCAGGTCCCCTAGTGGGTATGCCTTCCCCGGGCCACCCTCCCGGTACTCCCTGTGGCATGCCTGGGCCAGCCCCCAACACCTGACATCCCCTCCTGGGGTCAGGTGTGGTCCTACGTCCCACCCACCTTGCCTGCCTGCCCAGTTCCAGGGCACTCCCCACTCCGCCCAGGCCTTGAGCATCCACATTAAACGGGTCTCCAACATCACTCTGCCTCTCCTCTGTACCCCGGGGTGGGGGCCTCACTGGCCGCTAGAGGTGAACAGGTCAGTGGGGGCATCCCAGGCACTGATCGTGCACTGATGGTTCCCGGGCCTGCTGGTAGGCCTGGGTTCTTAGCTTTCCTGTATTTCTGGACACAGAGGGTACAGGTGAGACAGGGCTGCCTCTCCACCTGGTACACCCCTGGCCAGCGGCTGCCTCCGGCCCAGGTGAGACAGACAGCATCCCACATGCTGTGTGACCCAGTATGATACGCTCAGCTTCTCTGGGTCCGAGGGCTTTTCACTCAGACAGCCAACAACAGTTCATGCTGTGTAACCTTGGGCATCACCCTCTTGCTCCTGGCTCTTCTCCGCTGGCCAATAACCGGGTTGGTCTGGCTGTCTGTCGCTAAGGGTCTTTCCAAATGGGGAAATAGCAGAATTGAAGAACCAACTCAGCCTCGCTCCCATTCACGGATGATTCATCTTGGGGCCGCCTGACAAGAAGGGCGGGACCCGAGGAGCAGGGAGGGCCCCCACCCCTGCACTTCCACGGGGTGCAGCCGGAGAGGCCAGCACAGGGGCCCAGAGCTCAGGCCCAGGACCGGTTGTATGAGCTTCAGCAAGTCACTTGCCCTTGCTAGGCCTCTGCACCTGTTCCTTCACCTGTAATTTGGGGATAAGAGTAAGACCCGCCCCCTAAGGTCCGGACTCTGAAGACTGAAGCAGGTCTAAGTTGAAGGTGCTTTCCTAGCCCTGAAATCCTCATCGAGAGGGAAGCAGACTGTGGGGGAGGTGAAGCGCCTTGTGACCCCAGAATCCCTGGTTAGGGAGCCCGTCTTTGACCCTCCGGCTCGGCCACCACCCCGTGCCGGAAGAAGATGGGTGCTGGCTGAGACTGGCAGGGCTGCCCCTTCCCCTGTCCACCCGGACAGAAAGGCTGCTGGGCCCTGTACAGCCGAACTACCTTCCTTTATTAGATTTTCAGTACAAACACCAACCATGTCAAAATTTCCACACAGACTTCTAGAAAGCATAGCAGACCTAGGCTCAGACAGGACGGGTGTGAGGAGCTCCCTCTGTCAGGATTTGAGGCGGGTTGAACGCCGGGGAAGTGGGGGCGAAGGGGGCTGGGCGGTCACCTTGCTGGGGGTTTTAGCCGTGTCCTGGGCGCTGGGCTGGGTGGGCATGCGGCCGCCGGAAGTGAACAGAGCAGTCAAGGCGTTCCGGGCGTTGATCGCACACCGGCGGCTCACGGGCCTGCTGGCAGGGCTGGGGTTCTTGGCCTTCTTGTATTTCTGGACACAGAGGTGGCAGGTAAGGCAGGGCTACCTCCCCACCACATGTGCTCCCTGCCAGCGGCTGCCTCCCCAGGCCAGCTGAGACTGCACTGGACACACTGTGACCCTGTGTGATGTACTCGCCTCCCCGCGCCAGAGCTCTGGAGCCAAAGCCTGGCCCTCGGCAGCACCCCACCGCCCCCCCCCCCCCCCCCCCCCCCCCCCCCGGCTAACAGGGACAACAGAAAGAGCTGGGCCCCACCCCTGCTCTGATTCCCACTGTGGGCAGGGCCTCCTATTGGGGGGCTGAGGCCTTACTCATCAGCTAGACCTTGTGGGGCAGGGAGCCTGGTTCACCTGCAGGTTCTCGAAGTGGGCCAAGGACTTGCAGTGGGAGAGCTGTGCCCCCGAGTTGCTGTGGTAGAACTTGTGGCAGATGCGGCAAATGTACCCCATCACGGGCACCAGGAAGTCCACGCCTGTAGGACAACAGAGTCTGTGCACTATGCACTCATGCCCCCGGGCCCGGCCAAGCCATGTCCGCTCTCTATAGGGGCCCATTTGCTCACCACCCTCTGAGTGGGAGGAGGGGAGGGGACGAGGGGAGGTGGGGTCAGGGCTCGGGTCTTACCGTATGCGGTATTGGGGCTATAGGTCTCTGAGCCTTTCCACTCCTCTATGGACATATCTCTGGACCTCACCTGGAAACAGGCAAGTGTGGGCCTCAGCTCTGGCCTCCCCTGAGCTCTTCAACTCTATGCCCTTGCTTCTCAGGAGGATGATCCCCAAAAGGTTGTGGGTGGCATTCTCTGAGCCTTTGCACATGCCAATCCTGCCAGAGTGCCCTTCCCAATCTATACGTTTGGGGTTCAGCCCCATCAGTCCCCTCCTCCAGGAAGCCCTCCTGCCTCCACAGTGGCCATAATCCATGCCAGGTGTGCCCAACACATCACAAGGGTCGTCTCTGAATTCCATACCAACCTTCTAGGCTTCACTCATTTTACAGAAGAGGAAACTGAAGTCCAAGCCCACTAGCTCACTGGCCCACTGGCGGAGGAGGAGGGTAGTTAACCCTGGTGGGCCCCAAGCCCTCGGGACTCAACCACAAGCCCCCCTGCCAGCTTCCTGAATTCCTATCTGATGTTTCAGTGACCTCTTCAGGTGACTAAGGACCCCTCATCTCACCTGGTGGATGCGAGCCCCTTCCAGACGACGCCATCTGATTCCAGCCACGGCAGCCCCACCGTGTTAGTAGCGCCCTCCTCCACTTGCCAAGCAAACCAATGGGCCTTCCAAGACTGACAACCGCTCCCATTTGCCACCCCGACCTGGGGCTTCGGCCCTTCCTTAAAGCTTGAGCTGGGACTATTAGTTCTAAGCAGAGGAAACTGGGGCTCAGAAGTCGAGGGGCTCCCCTGAGGTCACACCACTGCTGACTGCTGAGTAACAAAGCGGCCTCACCTCAAACCTGCTTAGGGCTGGAGGCCACCCTGGCAACCCTCCATCCACAGCCCCTCCACGATGCCCCTTTGGGTGCCCCCCCACCCCCTGGACTGCAAGATCAAGCTCTGGGAGGGCAGGGCCAGACCTGTATCCCCACGAATCCCCACATCGAGCACCAGGGCCTGGGGCCTGGCTCAGACCAGCTGCAGTGTTAGGAGCAGGGCTCTGGCATCTCACTTCCTGGCATCCAAGCCGGTGAGTCTCTGCCAGGAAAGTGCTCGGTACATACCTGGCATACGGTAACTGCTCAAAAAGTGCCGTCTGCTATTACTGTCATCATCATCATCATCTTATGCTGACACTTCCTGTGTCCCCTGCATAACTCCCTCCATGCCGTTACTGGCCTAGGATGCCCTTTCCCTTCCTCAACCCAGGTCAAAATTTCAGCCAGGCTTCGAGGTCCTCACCCATGTAACCGCCTGCCCTGCAGTCGTGATGTGTACTTACACCTAGTCATACGGAATACAGTCCTATTTGTACTAAATCGTGGCATGCATTCGTGCCTACAAATGCCAGCACCGTGCCCCCTGGCCCCTGGTAGGTGGGGTGAGGTCCCGCCTGGTCTGGGAGCCCAGCCTCCAGCCTGCCTTCCACCCCCCTCTCAGCCCCCAAGTACCTGCTTGCAGAACTCTTCCTCAACCTCGATCTCTTCTTCTTCATCTTCCTCCTCCTCCTCCTCCTCCTCTTCTTCATCACCTTCAAAGCAGCCCACTGCGTCCACTGTGATGAAGTGGTCCTCATCTTGACCGGCCATCTCCTTCTCAAGCATCTTCAGCTGCCCAGGAGAGTGGGCCAGGGCTCAGGTCAGCTCTGGGCAGCCGAGGTACCACACCCCACCCGCCGCACAACTTTGAGCGTCCTGATCCCTCTGGACCTGCTATGAGTTCAGGCTGGGATAAATCTCGACTTGCTGTGTGGCCCTGGCAAAGGCTCTGTGCCTCTCTGGGCCCATGTCCTGTGAGGGAGCCGGGGTTACCTCCTTGGCTTTGTCCTTATGTCCCTGGGACTTCACGTGCTCCACAAACTTGCGGGGGGTCTTGAAATAGCGGTTGCAAACAGTGCAGAAAGGTCGCAGGGATTGCTTGGCGATCTGGGGAAAGCAGGGCAGGCCGAGTGGGTGGCACGCAGCGTCCCCGGCTGCAGCCAGGCTGTGCCCAGTGGGACCTCCTCCCCCGCCTGCAGGCTACCACATCTGTAATCAGCTGGCTGTGCTCCACCCCTTCACCAGAACATGGGCAAACACACTCCCTGCGCTGTTGGTTACAGGACGGGATGGCAACAGGACAGATATAAGACGAGACAGAGAGAGAGAGGAGCCGCCAAGGGAACCCCCATCAGCCTCGTGGCCGAATGGCAGGGTGAGATGGTGCTTCGCCCACTTGGACAGATGGAGAAACTGAAGCCCAGGGAGGAAACATCGAGAAGCCGCGCTTCTGAGTTACGGCCATCCAGAGACAAAGGCTGCCATTTACTTTCCATCCCCCACCTCTGCTCCCTCCTTCCCAACCCTGGGCTTGGAGACAGACTTGTGGAACCTCCGCAGCACGCAGGCCCTCATACCTTGTGGTCCTGAGTCCTGCGGTGCTGAATCAGGTCCCCCATGTAGTAGACCTGGCAGGTGTTACACCAGCGCCGCGGCGGGGGCTCGCTGAATGGTGGCAACCGAAACAAGTACATAAGGTGGGACGCTGCTCTCGCTGGAGACAGCCGCCCTCCCGAGATGCTCCCCACACACGTAATGCAGTTCCAGCGGGATCTTTTTTAGAAACTTAACAGTGGTTCTGAGATTCATCCGGAAGAATACTTAAACCAGAATAATGACCAAGGAAACTTGGGAGGCGGGGAGAGATCGAGAAGCATTTGGGATGCCGGGAGGCTGCTAGAACCGTGACACAACTAAGTGTACCTCACCTTGAAAGCTTGATCCTTCCGTTTAGATGCCTTGTTGTTCCTGGAGCTGATCTGGCCCCTCCCCCATTCCTGGACCTGTCCCTGTCCCACTAAGCGAGGGACCCCTCCGACGCCCCAAAGGGCCACCGCCACAGTATTTTCTACAAGGGACAAGGAGGACCTGATCCCTTCTCGGCACCCCCTGGAGTGTGGTGAGCTCTGGGAGGCCAGGACTCCATCCCAGAGTCCCAGGGCCTGCACGGGATCAGCCCAGAGTCTCGGACTGCGTTGCATGAAGGGAGAGGCAGCCAGTCTAAAGGACTGTCGTGTTCTGTGTGGCCTCAGGGGGCCAGGCCTGGATTCAAGGGGAGACCTCATCAGGAGACAATTCAGTGAATCTTGTGCACCTGAAGCCTGTTAACAGATGGGCCACATTCTTCTACTTTTCTTGTGTCACGAGATCCCAAGCTCATTCTGCAAATGGCGGTTTTGTACCTGTTCTAACCCGACAGGCTGCATCATAGCTGTTTCCAATTCTCGGGAATTCCCTGCCATTTTCCTGTTTGTTAGCTATTCCACCAAGTGGACAAGGCTGATCTAACTAATCCCACGGGTTTGGATATTCTGGAAAGTTTCCAGTTAAAATCTGTCACCATCACGTTCCTCCTCAAGGAACACCTGTGAGTCATCTTTCTCCTGTATTTAGGAGTATTTCACCAAAGTACGATTCCTAGGTCTGCGAGCAGGTTTAAGGATCAAGAACATACTGCGCAACCACGTATGGGGAAGTTCAAAGAACCACCTGACGGAGACGCCGCTGCCTCTGGAGAGAGTGCTCCGTCACCCAGAGCGTGCAGGTGGGGAGCTCCGAGCTGTGACCCTCTGTAAGTGCTCATGGCTAAGTCCCCAGCCACTGCCCTGGGGTCTGTCCAGCCTGTGAAGGGGATTGACTCGGCCTCTGTAGGCTTTGTTTCATTTTGATTCTGAACTAGCTGCTATCATTTTGAAATTGAGAGGCTTCACATACAAAGCTGGGTTTCTAGATTCTCTGGAACAGTTGGGAGACCTGGAGCTGAGGGGTAGCTGTTCTGTGACAGAGCCCATGTCCCCAGCATGGCCTGAGGCAGCAGCAAGCTGCTCTCCCCTCTCCCCTCACCCACCCAGCAGGCCTCCACGACGGCCCACAGGGGTTGAAAGGTCTCATACCTTCCACCAGGCCTTCTTAGCCCAAGAGCTAGTTCTGGACTCCAGGAGGGCACATATTTTGGGTCAGTGAAGCCTCCACGGCAATGAGAAAGGGGTAATGCAGTATAGCTGTAACCTAAGGCCACACGATGACGGATCCTCACCATCGTGCCCCCACCCCTGCTGGGGTCAGCACATATGCCAGGGAAACAGGGGTCTTTGCCACAACCCATTTCCTTCCCATGCGGGTGGTCCCGCTGTTCCTGCCTGGATGGAGCCTTAAGAGGCTATCTAGTTCATGAGTTCTAACATTGCATCCTTCACCAGGCCATTTTACAGATGAGGAAAACTGAGGCGAAGAGGCCTCTGGCAGAGGGCGATGCTTAACTCAAAGGCAGGCCTTGAAGACGGCAGACTCAGGGCCCCTCCCAGCTTTGCCTGGCCGGCAAGACTGTCTACCCCCACCCCAGGACAGAGCCTCCGCGGCCCCCCCACTCACTCGTCCTCTCTCTCCAGGACGTCCCGGGGCACGGGCAGCAAGGACAGGAGGCAGGCTTGGCTCATGTGCTGGATCTCCCCGAGCCGCTGCTGGTGCTGGGCCCCCGACATGTGGTCCTGGAACTCCTGCAGCCGGCAGGAGCGAGGGATGGGCATGAAGAACGAGCCCCGGAACAGTGGGTAAGGGGGGGGGGGCCCGGGGAGGAGGCCTCCAGCCTCGGCTTCACGGCCACTCCACGGCGGCCGAAGCCACCCCCTTACAACAGCCCCGTGTGGGCCACAGAAGGATGGTGGACTGAGACACCAAGTGAGCACACAGCAGCCGGAGCTTCGGGCCTCCTGGAGACTGTGTGGACCCCTCAGAGACAGGGAGCGGCCGATTAACCTCCGGATCCCATGGCTCTGCTCCAGATGACAGAGGTAACAATAGCAAGGGTAATAGTAATAATGATAGCAATAATGCTGTTTTTAATGCACTGCTCGCTGCTCCGGGTGGTGCCTGGGCTCCTGATTTCTTTCTTTTTAATTTTTCTTAAATGTTTTTAATTTATTTCTGAGAGAGAGAAAGAGTGTGAGCAGGGGGGGTGGTCAGAGAGAGAGGGAGACACTGAATCTGAAACAGGCTCCAGGCTCTGAGCTAGCTGTCAGCACAGAGCCCGACGCGGGGCTCGAACCCACGAACCATGAGATCATGACCTGAGCCGAAGTCGGACGCTTAACCGACTGAGCCACCCAGGCGCCCCTAGGGCTCATGGTTTCAATGTCAAGTCACTGAATCCTTGGAACCTCCCGGTTAGGTGGGTTCTAAGGGTTTCTTCATCTGATGCGTGAGGAAATGGAGTAGAATTCACCTTCCGGGGTCTACACAGCTAATCAGGGCTGATTTATACCTGGCCTGTCGGACTCTAAAACCCTAACTTCCTGGCTGACCAGGAACTGTTTTCAGGGCAAACCACAGCCACCCGGGACGGTGCTCGCGGGGCCCCTGTGGCCTCTCAGGCACCGCGGGGAGGCCCGGGCATCCCCTAGAGCCCCCCTCCCCCGCCCGCCAGTCCTTCCCCCGCGCCGGCGCCAGGCTGGAGGTACCTGCTGGCTGCTGCAGCTGGCCTTGCAGAGGTAGCAGAAGAACTGGAGGGTCTGCTTCGAGGGTGCGCTGGCAGAGGCAGGGGCGGTGGACGTAGAGTCGCCAGCGCGGGGTACAGGCGCGAGGGGGGCCGTGCTGAAGGCCCGGCTGTCACTGCTCTGCAGGATGGTGACCTTCAGGGAGCCCCCGGCACCCCACACCTGCACCAGGAGCAGGGGCAGGGCTACTAGAGCAGTGCTCCCCCTCCGTGCTTTCTCCACTGGAGCAGTGCGCCGCCCGACAGGGGACCAAGGGCTCTAGTCCGGGGACCCGCAGGTGGGCAGGGACTTGTCCCCAAAAGTACCTCTAGCTCTCCAGAGCAAAGGCATGTGAAGGCAGCATGTGAGCACAGGAGCCTGACGACCCGCCATCCAACCCCGTCTCCTCTGCCCACGGCCCCGGCAGAGGGCGGCTGTCACCTTTCACGGGTGGGGAAACGTGAAGGGTCCTCCCGCCACCGGGCCCCGCGGTAAGCACGCAGCTGCGGTAGCACGTCTACCCACCCCTAGCATCTCTCTTGCTCTTTTTTCACATTCTCCCACATCCAGGCCGCTGGTCAACTCCTCCTGGCTCTCCACACTGACCTGGGCGCCCCCTGGCTCTGGCGAGGCCTCCTCCAGGCCTGAAACGACAGAGGGGTCTGTCTCCCACCCGGGCCCAGAGCGATCTGGGCCTGAGAGCCACTGTTTCTACCCACAGCTGGGACCTTGAAGCCTCTGGGGGGAGGGGGGCGGGGGACAGTGCCAGGGGAAAGGCAAAGGGTCCAGGCAGGGAGAGCTGTCCCATCACAGGGCACCTGGGAGCCAGCGCTCACTGACCTGCTCCAGCATCTCTCGGATCTGACGGTGTCTCCGGCACCGTGGAATGAACCGGAACGGGGCCTTGCTCCGAAGCCGGCACGGACACCTGAGGCCGGGTCTGAGGCTGCCCCTCAGCCCGGTCAGGCGGCTGCACGGGAGGCTGTCCTGGTGGCTGCTCTGGTGGCGGGACCTGAGGATATGTCTGCGTCTGTGCCTGCTTCTGCAGCTGCGGCTGCACCTGCCCCGGGGGCTGGGAACGTGCCTTTGGCTGCACCTGTTTCGGTGGCTCGGCCTCCTTCTGCACCTGCTGCGGCGGCACCTGCTGCGAGGGCACCTGCTGCGGCACCAAGTGGTCTGGAGAGGTCTGCGTCTGTGCCTGCTTCTGCAGCTTGGGCCGCGCCTGGATGTCCCCTGGAGGCGGTGGCGTCTGTGGCGGCGTCTGCGGCGGCGTCTGCGGCTGCACTTGGGCCTGGATCTGCAGAACCCGCGGCTGGAATCGCGGCAGCACTCTGGCTTCCGGTGGCTCGGGCAGCAGCTCAGGTGTCTGGGTCTGCTTCGGGGCGGTGGCCCGGGCCTGAGGCTGGACCTTCGCCTGCAGCTGCCCGGGGGGCCCCTTCGCTGTGGGCAACTCCGAGCTAGGGAGGATTGAAAGAGATCTTCCAGTGTCTCCCGGTTGGCCCCAGGGGCTCCTCACAAAGGCCAGGACCCAAGTGCAGTCCTAGTTGTAGCACATGCGAGCCGGGCATTTGGGCAAGAGCCTCTCCGGCTCTCCAGGCCTCAGTTGTACCTAAATAAATGGGGAGGATCACTCACCCCCACCTCCCACCATCTGCTATTATGTATCCAAGGCCCTGCAAAGCCGCCCATCCTCTGCACAGTCTGAGGTCCCAGATGCACACATTCACCCCTCCGATCTGGCCACCTAGCCTGCCTCTGGGTGACTCAGACCGGAGGGACTCTCTGGCCTGGGGCCTTCCCAAGTAAGATGCAGAATTGGGTTTGACCTTCCTCCAAGCCAAAGGTCAAGGCCCTTTCTTTATTCCAGCTCCCTATAAAGGGTCCCGACCGTCAGCTACACCCACCCCGCCGGGCTTCGCAACAAGAGTACAGGGCACCTGGGTCTGGACGGGTTTTCAGCATCAGTTACCTCTTTGACTTCTTAGCCGGTGGCTCAGTTTCCTCACAAGACTCGGGCTCAGGTGCTAGAGAGTGTGTCTCCTTAGCAATGCCATCTGGGCAGGGTGGGGAATCTTGGTCTGGAATGGAGGGCAGATGAGTGATCGCCAATGCCATGAGCAGCACAAACTAGCTCCTCGAGATGGGGCCTGGCCGCCCCCCCAACACCATCCCTGCCTCCCATGTCTGCCTCCCGTCACCATCACCGGCCCTGGACGTGTCTGCTCCAACCTGTGTCCCCTCCAGAGAGCCAGCAGTCTCCCTCCCTTACCTTCTGGTGTGTCTGTTTCGGACTCAACAGCTTCCTCAGACCCCTCTGGGGGGTCTGACTTGTCTTCCACGGGTGTTGTCTGAGAAGAAGAATCCTGCTTCCTTTCAGAAACTGTCTTTGACATCTGCCAGCCACCCCTGTAAGCAACCCCCTGGTCCAAGGGCAGCTGCAACAGTCCCGCAGGGGGTGAAGAGCTGCCCAGAGATGATCCTCAGCACCCCGGGAATCCTGTCTAGGCTACCTGGCTGTTAACTCAGGTTTGGGGGACACGGAGCCCCCTCCTGGCCGGCCCAAGGTGCTGCCTCCTGACTCCCCAACCTTCTAACATGCAAATCATGTCTTTTGTCTCTCTCAGGCTGAAACCCTCCTGTGGCTCCTCCAATTCTAGAGTATTCCTTCCTTACCCAAGCCCGACCCAATCTGCCCTCTGCCCCCCACGCCCCCCACCTCCAACCAGCTGTCCCCACTCTCCCCCTCGCCCTCTCTATGTCCACACTGGCCTTCTCTCTGGTTCCCCCAAGTCCTAGGCCTCTCCCTGTCCCAGGGCTTCACCCAGAGCCTCAAAGGCACTTCTTGCGGGAAGCCCTCCTGACCCGATAGAGCCTTAACACAGGCCCCCAGAAGACCTTAGACTTCCTTTCTGTGGCCTTTTCCACAATCTGAATTGGTGGGGATATTATTTGCATTAATGCCTTACCACTGCCACCACCCTCCTCCCCAGCCTAAGACCTCCAAGGAGGATCAGGCCAGTCACGCCATCGGTACCACTGTGGCTCCGACCAGACTCACAGTTGTTTGCAAAACACATGCATGGCTCTGGCTGGTCCCGGGCACTCCAGTTAGTCCCAGGAGCCTGCCGGCAGGCTCCGCCCCTCCTCCTAAGCCCGAGGAACTGGTGCTGAGCGCAAACGTGCACCCCATCAGGACTCCATGCCCTTCAGAAACTGCCTGGCTCTCACCCTGCGTGGCACGGGCCCTACTGGCCTGTAAATCAGGAGGCCCGAGCTCTGGGCACAAGACAGCCTCCACTGCACTCCCTGAGCCTCGGCCTTCCCATATGTAAAATGGGTACTGGATAACACAAGACAAGACCATGTTAGGAGGGGCCCAACGGGCAGGTTGGAGGCCGGGACCCTCTCTGGAGGGAAATGCTTCACCTCCAGACGTGGGCTGGCCTCAGAGCAGCCCAGAAAGGGGCGGGGGAAGTGCCAGACCTGCCCCCTGGAATGCTCTCAGAAGGGTGTCATCTGTGAGGGGCTGCCAGGACATTCAGGGACACGACAGTCCCAGAGAAGCTATTCCCTTGCAGGTCTCCTTGACTCTTTCTGCTTATGTCAGGAAGAGCCTCCTTCTAATGCCTTTCACCTTCTTGAGGGCCCAAGGAGCTGGGGGTGCAGCCCCAGAACCTTCTGATGGCAACAGTATAGAGCTTAGGGTCCTGTAAGGTTGTTTTACCGCACTACCTTTCTTTTGCTTCTGTATACAGCAATGAATTTGGACTGTGTGTGAAATTTCAGGTAGTGACACAATGTTTCCTTGGTAAATAAATGTAACTGAGGAGAAGCTAATTGATTTAAAACTCGGCTACTGTAGTGGGTAACCCCTGGCCGCAGGTGCTGGGCTTTTGAGTTCTCCAAAGGTAGCAAGCCAAACTGACACACACGCCAGACTTTGAAGACTCAGTACAAAAGAAAAAGGAACACAAAATGCCTCGTTCGGTTTTGAAAATATTGATTGAGGTTGAAGTTATCGTGTTTTTTTGCGTAGTAAGTTAACAAAAATCTGTCTGCAAAATCTGTTCATCTCACTGGTTTCTTTTTACTTTGTTCATATACGATTGCTAAAGAAATTTAAATTCCACATATGGCTCATGTTTTATTTCTACAGGGCGGCGCTGATTTACAGAGAACGGTGACAGGACACCTAAGGCAAATACAGTGTTATGGGTCATTTGTATCTCCGTGTTGTTTACGAAGAGAGAAATATCAGGTAAATAATTGTACCGGTGGTGTTTGGATGTGGCAAAAATCACATCAGAGAGTCACAGAGATGTGAAATTTGGGGAGCACTAGACAAGTGCAACCCCTTCCCCCTTTTTACAGATGGGGAAACCGAGGACAAAAACGGATGTGGCCTGCCCAAGGGCCAAGTGTGCCAGAATGGATGGAGCTGGGCTGATACCAGGTATGACCTTCCCACGCCCGTCCCCACCTGCTGCGCCCCGGCCATCACTCACCTTGCGGTTGGGGGTGGTGCAGGAGGGGGTGCGTGCCTGTTTCTGGGGAGTCCGCCCTGCAAGGTTGATCTGGGAGGGGTTTATGGGGACCCCGACAGGAGGGGGCCCCAGCAAGGACTGCCGAGTGGCCTGAGGAAAGAACTGCTGTATATTTGGGGTGGCCAGCTGGGGGGGCGTGAGGCTGGGGCCTGTCAGGTTTGGGGTTGGCAGGTTGTAGCCACGGAGGTTACCTACGGGCAGCAAGAGCGGAAAAGAGGGATTACGACGTGGTTGGACGGTAGAGGCCAAGGTCAGGCATCGGCCCCCCAAAGCATCATGGTAACAACACAGATAACTTCAAAGGGGACCCTTCCCACACAAGGGCAGCCAGGGGAGGGAGATGAGAGCCAAAGGCCCACTCCCGCCTTGGGCATTAATGGTGAGGGGGCCGCAGGGCTCGTTTCCTGCTCTAGCTGAGGAGAGGAGAACTGCCATCCCCCTCTGCAGATGCCTCCCTGGTCAGCGGCTCGCGCAACCCCAGCAACCCCACTCACCCGCAGGCATGCTTTAGGGTACACCTTAAGGTATGTGAAAGACCCAGCACAGGGCCCTTAGGGAGAACCAGCAAGTTGGCTGACTGGTCCCTGACCCCCATCCCTCTGCTCCTTCATCAAGTCTCCTGGGAACCAGGCACTTGCTAAGCACTTTCCATGCACGGCCTGCTACTCGGCCCAGCCACCATTGGGGTGGGTATTGTGATCTCTACCATTGACAAAACAGACACAGAGCAGAGGCGTGGCTTGCCCAAGGTCTCTGCACCTTCTGCCTTTGCCCCTCCCCGTGCTACCTAAGCCCTTCCTACCTAAGCCCTTCCGTAGCTCCCTGCTGCTTGGAAAGAAGCCCATTCCTCACCTTGCAGGGTCTGACCCTGCCCTCCTCCCAGACCTCCTCTCTTGCTCTTCTCCCCCTACACGTACCCACTATGCTTCAGCTATATGCTTCTGTGCATTGCCTCAATAAGCCTGGTTTCTTCCCGCCTCTGGGCCTTTGCACATGCTGTTCCTTCTGCCTCGGCTGTTCAGCCCCCATTACCTCCCGGTCATCCTTCAGGCCTCCCTTTAGGTGTTTATCCCCTGAGAGGCCTTCCCACATCTTCTCTGTGTCCCCAGAGGCCCCAGGTTCTCTGTTCTAGGACCAGCTGCACAATTTCCTTGTCTGCTTCCCACTGCCTGCCACCCAACCACACTGGCAACTCCTTAAGGGCAGGCGCCTCATCTAACTCAGAGGCCCAGTGCTTAGGAAGTATTATAAAAGTTCAAATCCTTGCCCCCAAAGCTGGGACAGGAAGCACAGGGTCGAAGGCATGGGTCAGATGTGCTGTAAGAGCTAGTTTGAGTCCTATAGCCCAAGCTCTATGACCTAGAGCAAATCATTCCCCTCTTCTTAGCCTCACTTCCCTCATCTGTACAATGGGATAGTAATAGTGCCTGATTCACTGCTTTATGAGCATCCAATGAGATATGCGAGTGTGCCTGGTACAGAGTAAGTGTTCAGTTAACATCAAAACAAATACATGTGCATGTATGTGCCGAGAACCAACTGGCTCTTAAAAACAGTAAGATCAAGAAATCTAAAAGATCTAAAGGAAAAATAGACAAAGGACATGGACAAGTCACAAAAAGAAATATGAATGTTTAACAGACAAATATAAAACGTTTAGCTGCACTAGGACTCCGAGAAATGCAAACTAAAAGATTAATGATATAGCTTTTTTGCCAACCAAGTTAGTAAGTTGTATGCATATATACATATATATATATATATAAAAAGCATATAATACCCAAGGTTGCCGTGGGCATGGTGAGACCCGCACTGTCAAACGTGGCTGGTGGCAATGCAAACTGGTCCAGTCCTTCGGGAAAGCAAGTTGGCAATACTTATCAAGAGCCATAAAACATCCACCACCCGACCCAGTCATCTACTTTTGGGAATCCAGTCTAAGAAAATAGTCTCAAACATGATATTCGTCCCAGGGTTATTTAAAACAGAAAAAAAAAAAAAAAAACATGAAAAGAAAGAAAAAAAAAAGCTGTATTTAGGTACTTGAGAGCAAAATGAAACAGCTATTAAAAAATCATCTTTACAGAGACTGTCAAATCATCTGGAAAACAACCAAGTCATTCTACTCTGTGAAAAAGAAACAAGATCTAGCTTTTCACTTACATCGACAATCAACCACAATCATATACAAATTCCCAAGTTTGTGCCTAGAAAAAAGGTGGGAGGAAGTACACCAAAATCTTCACCGGTGTCTTTGTTGTTGTTGTTTTCCTTCAGGAGGTGAGTGAGTCTATCTGTGACAATTGGGGTTTTCTTGTCCTCTGAAATTTTTTTTTCCCTTTTCTTTGAAGAGTGTGACTTTTTAAATGGGAAAGAAAAGGGGGATGTGTACATATGTATACATCGTGGGTCCCGGTGTGTGCTCTTCTGTCTCCATCTATTTGTTGATCATTTGTCAGTCAACCCCAGGACCATCCCTGCCTATGTGGCAGGGCTGAAGAGTGACAGCCACATCTTCTGACCTGACAGCATACCCAGCGGGATGGCAGGATAGCCTAGTGTATGCAAGACCTGGGCTCTAATCCTCCCTCTAATCCACACCTACTCCCTGTAAGACTATGGGCACATGATTCCTCTCTAGGCCTCAGCTTTTTCATCTGTAAAATGGGATCATGAGTGTATCTGTTGTCAGCAGAGTCAAGGAATTGTGTATGTAAAGGTCTTAGCACAGTGCCCCGCCCAGAAGGACCACCCAGCAAGCCACAGCTACCGTCTGGGAGGGGCTGGGTCTGAACCTGAGCTGGCCCCAGGTCACTGGGCTCCTAAGATTACTCCCAAAGGGGCTGAGGTATCTGGAGCAGCATCTTAGAAGGAAGAGCTGCGAGACTGCTCTCCCCATGGGAAAACCGAGACAAGGGCACCGCCTTAATACACAGGGCTAGAGACGCCCACTCAGAGATCCAGGGGGTCAGGAGGCTCAGGCCTTAATCTACATGTGTGACCCGGGGAAAATGACGTCCCCCATCTCTGGACCTCAGCTTCCTCATCTGTCAAATGGGCCACTGGGGTAGGGTGTTGGGGGGTCAAAATAGACCTTTTCACCCATCATTTCCTCTCATCTGAATGTGAGTGAGGGGTGCTGAGGACAGCCCACAGAGTCAGCACCATGGCCAAGGGCACACCTCGGTGATCAGCGTAGGGCATCCAGCTGAGCAACTTTGGGACTTCCACCTCCTGGAGCTTCAGCGTCATCTGCAAACTAGGACGCTGACAGTAGCTCTCCCCCAGAGTCAGCGTGTGCACCTGGGGGAGATCTAGCGGACACGGGGCGATGCCAGGGCACCGCCACGAAGATGCAGAGGGGAGGGGCCAGTAGCCCTACCTTGCAACTGCTGCAGAAGCAAAGCCCTCTGTAGCACCGAGCCGTTGAGGAGGGAGGCGGGGCTGGCGCCTGGGAGGTTCAGGAGCTGCGGCTGTGGCTGCTGTTGGGGCAGCCCCCTGTGTGTTGGGAGGGGGGCGTCAGAGGGCTTCGGGAGAGCCGGCCCTTCCCTCCTCCCTTCACCTCCATTCTCTGCCCCCCTCTCGGGCAGACGGAGGAACCCATTGGGGCGGGAACTGATGGCTCCCAGGACTGAAACAGGGACGCCCCTGGGACAAAGGGCTGGGATAGGGTCACAACAGGGGCCTGAGTGCCCCTGGAGCCGCCCACCCCTCCAGAGGGGAACTCACCTGCTGACGGCCATGGGCAGGGAGGCCTGCGGTGGGGACTGCTGGAGCAGCTGCTGGAGCTGGAGCAGCTGCTGCTGCTGGAGCTGCTGTTGCTGCAGCTGCTGCAGCTGCTGCTGCTGCTGCTGGTTGAACATGGTGGCTGAAGGGAGGACGCAGAATCAGGCGGGATCCCTCTTTCCACGCCCCGCCCCCTGCCCACGGCCCTCAAATACCTGCCCGCTGAGCCTCACCGCTACACTCCAGTCTTGCCAAGAGCATGCCCATCTGCACCCTCATGCTTTCAATAACCCCCTCCTCCCGCCACTTTCCCGTAAATCCTGTTGACAGCCCCTCCCTCAAATGCCCAGCCCCGCCTGCCATCTCCCCGACTCCGAAGGCTCCGTCTTTCCAGGGGCGTCCTACCCAAATGCACCTCCACCCCCCCACCGCAGCCTTTCTCGCGCCATCACGTCCCGATGCCAGCCCTTCTCCACGACAACCCCACCCTCTTCCTCGCGCCTGTGTCAAAAACAGCACCCCCCCCCAACCTTTCGCTTTGGCCTCCGAACAAAGTGGGAGGAAGGCTTCCCTCCCCATTCAGTTAACCCCTTTCTCTGCAGATCCAGCCAGACTTACACACCAAACCCGGTCACCCCACCTGCCCGCGACGCCCTCAGCTTCCATCCAAGGGGCTCCTAACCCTTCCGTGCGTCCCCCAGCCGCGCTCGGCCCGGCAGAGCGGGCGGGGCGGCCCGAGCGCTAGGTTCCTCCGGGGCCTGGCCGCTTGGAAGGCCAGTCTGCGGACCGGAGTGCAGCAGCGCCCTCTGGAGGCCGGGAGGACCAGGGCGCAAGATCCTGCCCCCAGCTCGCGTCCCGCGGCGGAGGCGGCACCCGCTTACCCGGCGCCTTGGCTGCGGCTGGCGCGGCTCGGGGCTGCGAGGGGGCCCCAGGCGGCGCAGGCCCTCCGCCCCGCATCCTCCGCCCCGGGAACCCGCGGCTCCGACCCCGAGGTCCGTCTGTCGCCCGGAGGGGTCTGTCGTTTGGTGGGGACATCGCGGGCTACTTCGAGGAGGACCGTCCCCAACCGACCTCCCCGCGGCCGCCACCGTCCCGCGATCCTGGGGCTCCGCGCGGGGCTGGGGTGGGAGGGGCCGTGCAGACGGCCGCGGCACATTCGGGGACCGAGACCGGGCGAGAGGGTGACCAACCCAGCGGGCAGAAGAATTTGCCCTCAAAGAGGGTGGCGAGGTCCGTCTGAAGGGTTTTATTCGATTTGACTCGGGAGGGGGTGAGGAGGGCTGAGTTCGCTTATTAAAAACGGCGCTCATTCTGACCCTGAAATTGTCCTGCCCCAAGGACCCTTTAATTACGACTCGTTCGCGCATCCCAACGCCCCTCTCCTTGGTCCCCACGTGGAGTCACTGAGCCAGACGACCCGCGGTTACTAAGTAGCGATCCCTTTTCCGTTTTCTATTACCTAAAGTCTTCAATACAGGTAACAGCCGGGGGCAATCCCCTTCTTTTGCAATAAGCGCCAACTGTGCGCGGACACCGCGCAGGGTGGCGCTAGAGGCGCGCAGATTGGAGGCCCGCCCTGCGCGCTTGGCCGCGGAGACCCGCCAGCCAATCCCCGCAGTCGTGCGACAAGCTCCGCGCTAAAGCTCCCACCGACTCCCCTGCAGCCCCCGGTAGCCGCACTAGTGCCTAATTCCGCCCGGATTTAGAGACGCGAAAGTGGCTCAGCGTGACCACAGCGGGAGGCTGGGGCCCGAGTCAGCAGGGCGTGGCGCCCTTGGGCGGAAGGGCAGCCTGGAGCCTTTGAAGGCCTGGCCTTGGGCTTCACCCCTGCAGGGGATAGAGCGCTAGAGCAGGGAAAGGGAGCATCACATCCGCCAGGATTAGAAAACTCGGTGAGAACCGAGACCGAGGCAATGGTAAGAGAGAGAAGGGGCCGAGTCAAGACCGCTGAGGCTTCCACCCAGGTCGAAGCACCTGGTCTGGGTGTCAGCGGAAGTTGGAGAAATTGAATGGGGGCTCCTTCTGGTTAGGTGACCGAGGCTGACAGGGGAGTCCTCTCTGAGCCGGTTTCTTCTTCCCTCCCAGGGTGGGCGTGAGAATAATATTACGTAATGCTTAGTACTGGCACTTGACACAGAGTGAGTTTAGCAAATTGCCAAAGTAAAAAACAAACAAACAAAAATTAAAAATAATGTTCATGCTGGTGATCCTGTGTTGATTCATCTTTCTGAAAAGCAATCTGCAAATTCTCCGTCAAGACTATTGACGTGTTCTTCCCTTCGACCTGGTAACCCCTCTTACAGGAAACTTGCCCAAGAAACTAATCAGAAACAAGACTTTTTAAAGCCAGTAGGTCATTCATGGAAATATTACTGATAATAGCTGTCTGGAAAGTAATCAACTTTAGGGGAACAGCTAGGTAAATCATAGGGTCTGCCTCTTAAGGAGTGGCACACAGCCATGAGAAATTATGCTCTCTGGGGCTCCTGGGTGGCTCAGTCGGTTGAGTGTGGGACTTTGGCTCAGGTCATGATCTCATGGTTCATGGGTTCAGCCTGCATCAGGCTCTGTGCTGACAGTTCAGAGCCTGGAGCCTGATTCGGATTCTGTATTTCTCTCTCTCTCTCTCTCTGCCCCTCCCCTGCTTACTCTCCGTCTCTCAAAAATGAAGAAACGTTACAAATTTTTTTAAAAATATGCTTTCAAAGCCCAAATGTCCATCAACTGATGAATAGATAAAGAAGACGTGGTATATGTATTCAATAGAATATTGCTTGGCGATCAAAAAGAATGAAATCCTGCCATTTGCAACAGCGTGGATGGAACCAGAGTATATTATGCTAGGCAAGATAAGTCAGTCAGAGAACGACAAATATGATTTCACTCAGGGAGTTTAAGATAAAAACAGATGAACATAAGGGAAGGGAAGCAAAGATAATATAAAAACAGAGAGGGAGACAAACTGTCAGAGACTCTTAAATACAGAGAACAAACAGGTTTGGTGGGGTGTTAGGTGGGAGGAAGGGGTAAAGGGGTGAGGGGCATTAAAGAGCACACTGGTTGGGATGAGCACTGGGTGTTATATGTAAGTGATGAATCACTAAATTCTATTCCTGAAAATAAATAAATATATTTTGATTTAAAAAAAGAAATTATGCTTTCAAAGGGTTTGTAAACACTCACGATATGATGTGAAGTGAACTCAGCAGGCTACAAAACTGCATACACAATTATGATCCTGGTTTTGGAAAAAATAAATATGTGTGTAGTGGAGGGTTTTTACTTTCCTTTCTTCTGATTTGCTGTGATGGGTTTGGATGAATTTGGGAAGGGAGGGGATTTTTTAATTTTTTTTTTTTTTACATTTTTAATTTATTTTTGAGAGACAGAGTGAGACAGACAGTGAACTGGGGAGGGGCAGAGAGAGAAGGAAACACAGAATCTGAAACAGGCTCCAGGCTCTGAGCTAGCTGTCAGCACAGAGTCCAACGCGGGGCTCGAACCCATGAACCATGAGATCATGACCTGAGCTGAAGTCAGACACTCAACCGACTGAGCCACCCAGGCGCCCTGAGAGTGAACTTTTAAAATGTATATGACTTTGCTCTGATTCCTTGAAGACCAAACATTAGAGTATCTGGTAATTCACTGGGGACTCTGTTCAGCACTAGACTCATGTTAATTGCTTTTAACCAATACCTTGCTGGCAAAGCCCCACCAGTGGATGAGGTTCAGAGGCAGAAGAGAAGCCCCATCTCCTTGCATCTGAAATGAAGTCTGAGGCTGTACCATCACCTGGAGGCCTCTTTCTTGCCTCTAATTCAAGCTGTGCCTTTATTATGTAATAAACTCTCATACTCATGTAGACCTATGTCCAGACCTATTCTGCTCCAGGAATTTACCTGTCTCTTTCCAAGCTGCTACTACATATGTGATTATTACGGTTTTGGAATATATTTTAATGCTTCATAGCACAAGCCCCCAGCACAGTCATGCTTTATAAAAAAAAAAAAAAATGTCTTGCCGATTCCTAGTCATCTAACATTTTTCCCCCAGGTAAATCATAGAATGATTTTGTTAAATCCCTCTCCCAACTCCCCCCCGACCAGATCCCAAGGTGCATATAATAATATATATCAGGGTTTCTCCAACTTCAATAGGAGTTGAAGGAATAGAGTATCTGGGGAAGGAATAGGAATCTCTTGCGGCTCATGGTTCTTGTTAATTGCAGGTTGTGACCCAGCAGGTCATGAGTAGAGTGTGAGCTTCTACATTTCTGACAAACTCCAGGTGCGACCCTGCATCAGTGATACAGGAAGACCAGACCTATAGTATGATCCCATGTCTGTGAAAACAAAATGAAATAAAATGAATATATATGGGAAAGCCCAGAGAATAAACACTATAACAACTATAAGGGCTGCCCCCCTCCCCGGGGTGGCTCGGTCAGTTAAGCATCCGACTCTTGATTTCAGCTCAGGTCATGATCCCAGGGATGTGGGATCAAGCCCCGAATTGGGCTCTGCACTGAGTGTGGAGCCTGCTTGAGACTCTCTCTCTCTCTCTCTCTCTCTCTCTCTCTGTCTCTCTGTCTCTCTCCCCCTCTGCTCCTCTCTCCCCCCTCTAAAATAATACGAATAATTAAAACTATAAATAATGGTTATCCGTGGGTAGGAGGATGACCAGAAGCTTTCAAATACTCTGTAAAGTCTCTGACGGTAAGTTTCACTACTGTAATTAGGGAAAGCAGCCCAGCCGTGATAGCAGCCCCTCCCGGCAGACATCTGTAAACTGCACCCCCTCCCCAAACTAATGGCTCCACTCCAGGCTTCCTCTCTGGCCTCTCTGGTTCTGGGAGCATCATAAAGGGGCTGGCTCTACACAGCTCCTCAAGATGAGCATCGTGCATAGCTGATGCTCCTGCTGCCCGGAGGGCTCAAAGCGCTGGTTTAATGAAGTTCTCCTGAGCACCAGGCCAGGGCCAGGCTTTCACAGGGATTCTATTCTCTCATTATCCCCATTACCTGGATTAGATAACTGAGGCCCAGAGACATAAAAGCACCTGAATCACACAGCTTAACTAAAGCGCAGGCCAGGCTCCTGGGGCAGGACCTGCTCAGTCTCCTCTGCTTGCTGGGAACCCCACCCCGACCTAGACATCCATGTGGGTCATTTCCTTACTTCCTTCAGGTCTCTGCTCACATTACCAGAATCCCACTCTCACCACCCTAAACAAAGAGCAACCTTCCCTTGCCCCTGCCTCCCCCCAGCTTTCTTACTTTCCAAAGCACCCATCACGATCTGACGGAATCATATCCACTGGCTTATGTGTACTGTATCGGTCTTTTTTTCTTTTTCTTTTTTTTTTTAATTTTTTTAAGTTTTTTTTTATTTATTTCTATCTAGAGAGAGAGAGAGCGTGAGCAGGGGAGGGTCAGAGGGAGAGGGAGTCACAGACTGAAACAGGCTCCAGGCTCTGAGCTGGCAGTCAGCACAGAGCCCGACGCGGGGCTCGAACCCACGAACCGTGAGATCATGACCTAAGCGAAAGTCGGACGCTTAACCGACTAAGCCACCCAGGCGCCCCTATCGGTCTTTTTTTCCATATAAGGGTAAGGACTTTGTTTAGTTTGCTCACTGCTTTATCTCTGGTGTCTAGCATAGTGCCTGGCTCAGTTAATATGCATTAAATGGGTGAGTGAATGACAGTCTCTGATTCCCAGGTCACTGCCCTCCCAGCAGTGCCCCCCTCCCCTCGCATTCACAAACAGGGTGACCTGCTGATGCGCAGTAGCAAAGGGTAGGCTGACCTCTCTTCCCTAGACTCCTTGTCCAAATGAGGTTCCTTAAATGCAGAGGTGGGTGGCTGGGCCTGGGGCCCCTGGTCTCTCCGTGTGAAAGGGATAGATAGGGTAGGGCTGTAGGAGTCCTGGATTCAAATCCCAGGTTTACCACCCCCCTGATGGATTGGGGCAAAGTCTGCCACTCTAGGACGAGAAGTCCCAACTCTCGGAAGAAGGCCTTGCAAGGGTCAGGGCCCTTGTACTTGCTATTCATTCAGCCTGGCCGGCTCTCCCC